TAGAATTGTATCTACTTACGCCCTTTGTCGGTAAGATCACTCTGTCCTCCTGTATTTAGCGTATAGCCGATAACTGATATAGTATAAGCTTTAACGTCTAAATCTATATACTATCGATAGAGTATAGTAGGGATACCGCTATACTACTCTTCTAACGTACTAATAAGTGCCTAATTACGGTCGTAGAAGATAACCTCCGGTGCGTAGATATCGTATATGTTTATTATAGAAAGGAACGCCTTTAAGGCCTATACAAAGTCCGGCTATATTAAGAACCTGGATCTGACGGTAGTGTAACCGATATCGGTACCCTAGTTGTAACTATATATGGTTTAGTTCAGACCTATATAAATTAATCAATACTACGGCTTATAATCTTCAAAAGGTTATAAGCCCGGGTAAGGTCTTCCGCTAGCATTATGCTAAAAAACACTCCGTTTTCAAGATTATAAACTAATGCGTTAATATATAATAGATCAACGAAATCTACTGTCTCCGTATCTCTCTATAAACTACTCTCTCTGTATATACTATAAACAAAATGTTAACTAGAAAAGCAGAGCGATAGGCACTTGCTACCTATATAAGAATTCTTACCTACTAAGCAAACTCGGAGGTTATAGTAACTCTTACTAATAACTATAACAAATTGTACTAATCTAGATCCTCGTTAAGTTAAGTATCCCTTTAGGTCAAGAAAAACCTTTACTAAGTTAATTAAACCTTTACCGAGTTAATAAAATTATTACCTACGCTATCTTACTACGCTGTAAATCTGGAACGCTTAATATAACGCGTTAAACGCTAGCTTAATATACTCTACGGAATATATCTACCCTTCCCTTAAGGCTTAAAGGCTCTATTTAATAGTATACAAACCTACAAACGAAATATTAGCGTAATAGGAAGTACGTAAGGCAAGGTAACGTAAATACTCTACTTAATATTGTTAGAAAAAGAATCTTTAAAAGCAACAACTTACTACTACGAACCGACCGATAAATCTGCTAACTAGAGTTCTATATATCTATACTTTACTTAAGAGCTTAAATAGCAATACTAGCCCGAGACGAATACTCGACGATATTGACTCTAAGGGAAATCTAATTCTAGTTAGTACTATTACTAAAGGGGTATAAGGCGGTAGTAGTTCTATATACCTACTAAAAAATCTTGAACCTGTCTACTCGAAAAAACGACGCTATACCGAGGCTATAACTACTTTAACTACCGACGAAGCTCCTCCTACGCAACCAACGCCTTAGGCTAAGGCAAACTCGGCCCTAGAGAAATCTAGTAATTATAACCCCGACTCGAGCGACTCGGACAACGATAGCGACTCGTCTAGCAACTTATTAACAGAAGAGTAAGAGCTAGAGGAAGAGCTACGAAAACAACTCTTAAGAGAACTATTACTAATCGTTAGTAAAGATACGAGACGATTTGGTTTAAGACCAATACCTAGGGTAACTATCAATATGCCCCTATAACGAAATATACTAACCGCTACGGCCTAACGTTTGACCTTATTAGGTTACGTAGCTAAAGCTATACGGAAGAAGGCTTCCGTAGATACTAAAAGCTTTAGCGACGTAAGGAAACTTGTTAGCGCGGAAAACTACAACGACTAGATAGATAACTTAAAGATCGCCTATCGACAAACTAGAGTAATCGATTTTCTCCTAGGAGAAGAAGAGCTCCTAATGAATCTAGAAGAGGATATACTAGTAGAAGAGTATAACGACTATATACTAGAACTCGCTAACTAGACTAGAAAGAATGTTTTACTCCTAGGAAGTATTTAGACTACCTGCGAAGAGTATATAAGGGAGAAGATCAAGGTTATAGACAATGTCTCCGAGGCCCTAAAAATTCTAGACGATAAGTATACTAATAGAGGTATTAGTCTAGTACTAGAACTATACCGATAGCTAAAAGAATACTTATTTAGGAATATAACCGACTTCCCCGCTTTCGTACGAGGTTTCTCTAAACTCTTTAACGACCTTAATCGACTTCGAGGTCCCTACGAGTTTAGCAACTACTAGAAGTATCTATACTTTATAGGAGCACTTCTAGTTAAATATTTCGGTACTTAGATTAAGTCGGCAAACAATACGGCGTTACTAGTAGGCTACGGATCGGGTCTAGATCTTGGCTTCGATATACTCGCAACAAAAGCCGAAAATTACTAGAATACAATCTAGAGAAGTTAAAACGTAGATCTAGGCCTATCCGAGTCTCGATCCTTTACTACGAAGTGTATATTTAGCAATCGTAGTAGGAGTTATAACTTACCTCCTCTAGGCCAACTTGTTAGAGCAAAGGACTAACCCTATTAATAGCTAAATTACGTTAGAAGCGGATATACTAACGGTAAATGCTTAAAATAAAACAACGAGCTTTACCGAAAGTTCCGTAAAAATAGGGATAACAAATAGTCTCGAAATAATAACTACTCTTACTAGAGTAGTACTAGATCAAATTTAATAGTAATATATCTAGGTCGATAGTTATACCTAAGTACGAATATAATACCTAGCGACTTACCTTAGATCGATTCTGCTTAGCCGACGGGTCCGAGTATTAGACCTAGAACGAACTTTGTAAGCAGATATAACTCGAACTTAGTTAATAACTCGGATACCTTCGAAGATAGAGCCTAACTGTCGAGCCTCTATCCCGAGGACTCTACTACCTATCCTCTAGACTTATACTCTATATTTATTGCGAGCTATAAGTTAGTAAAGGACGTCAAATCTACTACTACTAATGTTCAAGAAGTTGTACGATATAATTTTAGGAGGTTTGATTAGGTAATTAACTTAGGGACAGAGGAATATATATACAATAAGAGGTCGTAGTTCGAGGAGTATAAAACGTTATCTAAACTAGTTTATATTACTAGAGCTAGTACTAGTTTCTATATTGTTAGAATAGGCAAACTCCGCCTTACCGTTAATTATCTAAATAGCTTACGACAGATAGTCCTTACAAAGGTCGCACACGTTCCTTAAATGCTAATTAATCTACTCTCGGTAGCTAAGATTAATGAAAACGATACCGAGTATCGGTTAATTCAAGGTATATATACTTTTTATAATAGGAAATCGGGAGCTATTATTACGACAGGGACCTAATTTGGATCCCTCTAGAAACTAGATATCTTATTAAGGTCGTTCCTTACGTACTAGTCGGGAGAAACGTCTACCTTAGTATATAAGGACGGAATACTACTAAATAAGACTGTATTATTCTTTAATAACAGGATAGTTCAAAAGTTACCTATCTATATATAGTACTAAAGGTTAGGTTATATCGGTAGTAGAGTACTTAGAGAACACCTTAAACGCCTCGGAATTGAATATATCGACTATGATTTCTCGTATTAATCCTACTATTACAATAAGGCAATGTAGCGCTTTCCGATCTCTAAACCAATATAGGCAATATTGCCCGGATAGCGAGTATATATTAACTTAGGAAGCCCCCTGCCTCTCTCTAAGGCAGGTAAACGATTCTACCTACTTATTGTAGACGACTATACTTGCTATTTATAGGCGTATACCTTAAAGACTAAGTAGGCAAATAAGGTCTATAGCTGTTTCGCTAATTTCCAGCAACGAATGCTTACCTAATTTAACGTACTAATTCGAGAGATCCGAGTAGATAGAGGGTCTGAGTTTACGGATATTATAGTAAACTGTTCTATATACTATAGAATCTACTATACCTGCTCTACTCTATATTAGCCGGATCAAAATAGTATCGTAGAAAGGAAGTATCAAACACTATAGAATATTGTTAGGTATATAAAATAGGATAGAGCACTTATCCCCGAATTGTAGCTAGAGCTATTAAAAGCAGCGATCTTCCTTAACAACCGTTTACTAACGATATCTCTAAAAAACTTCAAGTCCCTATACGAGGCACTCTATAGAAACACCCCCGAACTCGATTATATAAGGAGAGTTAGATGCCGTACCTACAAACTAGTACTAAAACGAAAGTTTCGAAAGAAGTACGACAAACGGGTATATCTTCGAGTACTAGTTAGATTTGAAGGTTACTACGTATACCGATTATAGGACCTAATATCTAGAGTAGTAGAACGGGCAAAGGAGGTCTTATTTAATAAAGACATACGTCTAGACAGAAGTATATTAGAATTACCTATCTAACTCCTAAGTATAGGTATAAACGACATAGCTCCGCTAGCGCTAGAAGAAGTCCTACCGAACGTAACGGACAACTACTCTAACATCCTATAATACCTTAAGGCCTCGGCTGCTCGATTCAAGTAGAAGAAACGTAGACACCCTAGTAACCCTCCGTTAGCGAATCCGATTCAACCGATGCTAATAGCCGGAGAACCCTAAGGAACGCCTATATAGATCTAGATCCCTTAAAACAAACCGTTAAAGGATATTTACTATTTCGGGACTTAACGTCAATATAAGAAAGCACCGATAGTCAACTTTACCTATAATAGAATAACATATAAGGACTTAGTATCAATTTTCTATATAGCAAAACGAAGTACGTAAGAACTAGTCCTAGAGATTAAACTTAAGGACGACTTAAAGACAACGATAACGAACGAACCTATAGAGGAGTTAGACGCAATAGTACTAATAGCCTAATTTATTAAACAAGATCCTATTACGCTAAAGACGTTAGAAGAAGCTCTCGACATACTATACTTAAAGCATTAGTAAGAAGCGGTTAACAACGAATACTAGTTACTTATTAACAACAATATATAGATACTTGTTAACGAAGGTACGATTACCTTCCTCTCTCTGTCCGGTAAATAGGTATTTACGATTAAACGTAGAATTAATAGTCAAATCGAGAGATTCAAGGCTCGATAGGTCGTACGAGGATTCAAATAAAGAGAAGGGATTGATTACTCTAAGACCTTTACTATAGTTGTTAAGGCCTTAAGCTACCGAATTCTCTTTGCCCTAGTAGCAAAGCTTAATTAGTACGTCTATTAAATAGATATAAAAACTACGTTCTTGTACAGCGACATCGATATAGAAATCTACGTTAACCTACCGCTAGGATTTAAAGTAAAAGGAAAGGTCTACAAACTCAAAAAGGTACTCTATAGATTAAAGCAAGCTCCGCGAATATAGTACTAGACGCTAATAGCGGCACTCGGTAATTTTAGCTTCTCTCTATATCTATTAGACTCCGTAGTTTTCAAGAAAGACAATTACTTTATCCTAGTATACGTTAATAACTTACTTATTACTAGACCTAACTTAAAATTTATTTAAGAGGTTAAGCAAAAGCTATTAGAGCGATTCAAGATAAAAGATATAGGGGAATACAAGTTCTTCCTAGGAGTTAGAATTAAGAGAGATTAGGAAAAAGGTAAGATTCGGCTAATATAAACAGTATACCTAAAGGCGATAATAGAGCGCTTTAGCCTTATATATAGAAATCCGACGACTACTCCGTACGTCTTAAAAGAACGCTAGGAACCAACGCCCGAAGGATATATAGCGCCCGACAACGTCCGATTAGAGTACTAATCGATAGTTAGATCCCTAATATATACTATACTTAGAACAAGACTAGACCTAGTATTTAGTATATTAATAGCAAGCCGTTACTGCTCGAACCCGTTAAAGAAGCACTATAAATAAATAAAACGAATACTACGGTATATCCTAGGGACCTTAGAATCTAGACTAGAATACTCGGGAGAATCAACTAATATTATTAGTTAGAGTAACGTAGAATTTGCTAGAGATCGGTCGGACTCAAAATCAATTAAAGGTTATATCTTTACAATTAGGGGAACTATAGTTAGTTAGAGATATAAGAAACAGATAACGGTCGCTATATCTATAGCTAAAGCGGAATATACGGTACTCTACTACGTAGCGAAGGAAGCTATCTAGATTAAATATATACTAGAATACTTCGACTAACTATAGGATACTATCCGGATTAAGGTCGACAACGAGAGCTATATCCGAATCGCTAATAACCCGGAGATATATAAGAAGACAAAGCATATTCGAGTACAGTTCTACTTTACCCGCGAATTAGTAAAAACTAAGGCAATTGCGCTTGTACATATACCTAGACACGTTAATACCTCCGATATATTTACTAAGGCTCTAGACAGGACTATATTTAAAAGATACGCAAGAGGAATAGGGATCTTTAGAATAATAGAAGGAAGATTATTAAAGGTCCCGAAGGAATTAGGTTAGAGTTAATAGATCTGTTATTGTTATTGAAACGCGTTGGTAACTAGCATTCTCTTAGCTACTCTTTTCCTACTATAAAGGTAGAGTTTTTTAAGAGGGGACTAGATAAATAAGGAGTTAAGTAGGAGTTATAAGGAGTTATTATAGTAACCGATAATCGGTCAAGTAGGAGTATTAAGAACCTAGATCTAACGGTAGTATAACCGATATCGGTACCCTAGTTGTAACTATATATAGTTTAGTTCAGACCTATATAGATTAATCAATACTACGGCTTATAATCTTTAATAGGCTAGCGCTCGTTCTCGAGGTAGACGTAAGCTACTAGAATAGTTATTCTAAGACTAGTAACTACTATAATTACAAACAGAGGAAGGCCGTACTTAATAGTACGGTATATACAGTCTATAACTAGTACGAAGGGGTTGTCTCTAAGAATATCGTATATCTCTAGGCTCGTAAAGAATAAGTAAGTAAGGCTCGAATCCGCTACCGCTTTATATATATAATAGAAGTTGTCGTCTAGTATCTCGAATGCTACTTCTACCGGTGTCTTAAGAAGTATATCGGTATATCTTATACGCGCTGATTCGTTGTATAGGTCTTCTATAATAAGTATATTGCCCTTAGTATTATAAGTATAGAATTCCTTAAATACTATAGAACGAGCGCGCTTAGGCTCGACGCCGCTATTATACGTATTCTCGAGGAACTTATATACTATATTATTACGGAACCGGCGCCTATAGTTTGCAAGAGATATAGTAGCTCTACGGTCGTAATTGTAGCGAGGCGTAATACCTACTTTGTATACCTATTCGCTATCTACGCTATAGCGGTACTAGAATCGATCGCGGTTATACTAGCGATATCGCTCGTTACTAGAAGATTCGTCTTGTATATCGTCGTCGTCGTCGGTATCGTCGTCGTCGTTAATAGAAGGAAACTGCGCTACGCTGTATAGAGCATCGATCGCTTGTTTAGAACGTAAAATATACTTATTCTCTTTATTCTCTTTATTCTCTTTATTCTCTTTAATCTCTTTAATCTCTTTAATCTCTTTAGCCTCTACGGCCCTACCTTAGGTTGTAGCTACGTACGTAGCTTACAGTATATTACTCTCTATATTACGTAGTATATTAAACAATCGCGTAGCAGTATAGAGAAATATATAGGTAGGTAAACAAAGAATAGAAAACTCTGTACGAGAAGTTGAAATTACAAGGTAATATTGCCAAGATATGTTGCCTCAGGCACGAGACCGGGCCGAAGTACACTACGAATAAGAAAGAGTACACTATGATTATGAATCCCGCTTAACCGGCCTAGCGGAAGTACAAACGGCTTTCGTGCTCCAACAGCTGCGCCACATCTCGCCACAAAGTGGGGCGGTGGGATTCAGGGACTTTGGGGTTTAGGGTTTTTGAGAATCTGGAGCTACATCCTAGATGTACCTGACTTTCTACATCCCACCACCTTACACTGCACAAAACACACTGCCATTCGGTGTCCGTGTGTTTCGACATTTGTTTCTTCTGCTCCTCGCTGCACCCGCGTCCAGACATCAATCCTACACACGATGCCGTCCTCGGTCACTACCGCCACGCTCATGCAGCCGCACGTCGCCCGGAGAAATGGCCCACGGGCTGAGAAAGAGCATGCTGCTTCTTCTTCTTCTTCCTCCTCCACCACACCATCTCCCCCCGGGGCGCACGACGACTTCTTTTGGACATATACCGAAGAGCCGCACCGGACGAGACGACAGGCCATCATCAAGGCCCATCCCGAGGTGTGCATCATCTGTCCCATGATCGGGCAAAGGGGGCGTGGGACGTGTCGGCAGTGGTGCTGACGGGAAGAACAGGTGCTCAAACTCTGCGGACCCGAGCCATGGACAATTCCGCTCGTTCTCGCCGTCGTCAGCCTCCAGATCGGTTGTGCGTATGCGCTCCGCAACACACCCGTCCTCTCGTGGACCTTCCTGCTCACGGCATACGTGATTGGCGCCACGGCGACACAGAATCTGTTTCTGGCAATCCATGAAATCTCGCACAATCTGGCCTTCAAGTCTCCTCTGGCCAATCGCTTGTTCGCCGTGGTTGCCAACTTGCCCATTGGCATACCATACTCGGCCTCCTTCCGGCCGTATCACTTGACGCACCACAAGTCATTGGGTGTCGATGGACTGGACACGGATCTGCCCACCGCCTTGGAAGCCTGGTTTCTCGACTCTGTTGCTGGGAAGGCCTTCTTCGCAACCTTTCAGATCCTGTTCTATGCCTTGCGACCAATGATGGTTTACAATCTGCCATTGACCACCATTCACGCCTTTAATGTGGCTGTGCAGCTCGCGTTTGACTACGTGATTGTACAGAACTTTGGAGGGAGAGCGTTGGGATACTTCATCATGAGCGCGTTCCTGGCGGGCTCGCTACATCCATGCGCCGGCCATTTCATCGCGGAGCACTACGTCTTCTCTCAGCATCAGAGATCACGAGAAGCCAGTGCTTCCGAAGCAGCCAAGCTCGCGCCTCCGCCCGCCGAGACGTACTCGTACTACGGTATCCTGAACCTGGTGACGTACAATGTTGGTTTGCACAACGAACACCATGACTTTCCCGCCATTCCATGGACGAGACTCTGGAAATTGAACCAGATTGCGCACGAATTCTACTCGGACCTGCCTTGTCATTACAGCTGGTCAGGCGTGATCTGGCAATTCATCATGGACAAGGAGGTGGGACTGTGGTGTAGAGTGAAGAGAAAAGAAGGTGGCCGCAAGGTTGGTGGCACAGAAGCTGCTAATGGCGGCCATCGATTACCTGTACCGGTAGAGATGACACGATAGGTACATGCTGGATTTCACATTCTCAATTTGATTGCAGACTTCCCATCAGGAAACATGCGAGCACTCGAGGCCGCCGCTGGCATCTGAGGCTCTTGACTACTCTTGACCTGCTTCATCCCTACGGTAGCTTTGAGGTCCCCTTCGCCGTGATGAGCTGCCGCTTGCTGTACTCAATTCCGAGTGAGATGACAGGCTGACAACCCGAGGGCGATCCGACGATTTCAGGGTGGCAGGCGTAATAGGAGAGGAGTTAGGTGGAAGCGCGGCTTCTCATAGACGCCTTCTCCTCCTTGCCTGTTCTGCACTTCCCTGTTCCTCCTCGTCCTCCTCCTGACGCTTCTCGTGCCAACGCACAGCCATATAACAACTTGCACTGAGCAGCGAGTATGTTTCTTCACCTCACACCGTCACAGCAGCGCCACCCTGCGCCGTCCGCCCAGCTTGACTCCCGGGCACATTCGCCGCCAGCTCCTGCAATCCGGCCCCGCCCACCGAGTTGGGCTCGTTTACGGCCAATTCCGCCCCGTCCTCGGTGCCCGTATACGAACTGTCTCCGAGTGCTCTCATGGCCAATGTCTCTTTGACGGCCCACTCCTTCCAGTTCTCATACGCCTTGTCCTCCAGTTGTTCTCCCACTTCTAGAGGTCCCAGACCAAAGTAGGCGCCCACAGCTAGAGACTCTTCCCGCGCAACCCGTGCCTCAACCTCTTTCTGATGTCGGAACCGATACAGTTCTTTTCGCGCCATATCATACGCGGCGGCATTACTCATCGCTGTGTGTTGCAGGAGCCATTGCCAGCGTTGTATCACCCTATGCAATCCATGCGTCAGCACCATCTCGTACACTCTGCTGGAGAGGTCTGCCGGAGAGGAAAAAGGAAGAAAATAAACCAAAAAAAGGAAAAGGGAGATAGAATACGCACGCTTCACCATTGATCGGTCGATTCCCTTGCACCTCCATCACCTCTTCCCACTCTACATGATCTCTCCCAAATTCGTCTCGCGTGTCAGTTTTAGGCCGTCTCAGCGAGTAGTCCAGCGGCACACTCCAGTCGTATCGCTCCCGATCTCGTCCATCATTTTCGAGCACCACTCGCGGCCGCGCAAGCTCCCATGGGTGGTCGTTGTAGTACTCCCACCGCAGCTGGTCTTCAGCGTACTTCAGACTCAGTGGTTGGAAGAGTCTCGAAGACTTTTTGGAGGCTCGACTAGGCGTGTTGGGTCGTTGGAGAGGAGGTCGTGTCAATCTCGTTGCGGGAGGTGTGATGGTGATCGGATAGTACCACGGCGGCGGAGCGGGAATGCGAGATGCATGGAGGAGTTGTGTGGCTCGTTTGTGCACATTTTGCGCCGCAAAGGAGTAGCGACCCATGTTGTTTGATGTCTGCGACACTACATGTACCTTTTAGTATATACAAGTGAGTGAAGGTGCTCTCGGAGCGTGGTGGTAGGCGGAGGTATATAGGTACGGTCAATAGATAGTACCAAGTAGTGTAAGTAGGTGACGGAGCGTGCGGCGTGCGGAGGAGAGATGCGGGAGTGCGGGAGTGTCTCTGTCTTGGCGTTTCTCAGGACAGAACCTCTCTCTCTCTCATATTCACACACACACACTCCCTTACTCCCTCACTTCCCATCACCTTCACCGCTTCGTCCTTCCGTTACTGCGACTGATCAGACAATGCGTTGCCGGAGCTGATGGAATTGCTGCCACCATGTTGCGCTCTTCATGTCCCGAATCGTTCCTCGACTGCGACCATTGCCAGCAGCCGCAACTATAACAGCTACCATTCCTCCTCCTCCTCCTCCTCCTCCTCCTACCGCGTTTCTCTCCCCGATAGCATCTTTACACCGACAGACTCGGCCATGGGTGCGTTATGTCGCGTCTCATGTCGAAAGACACGGCGAAAACGGTGCACAAAAACGATACCACTCCCGCAATGATGGTGATGATGATGATGGAAGGGTAGGGGCGTCGCGCAGGAGTGATGCCACCTTCACCTCCGGAGGACATATCTTAATCGGCGGCCTGGTCGTGGCAGGGACGTGCAGGAGAAGACACAGGACTGGAGACGGTCCCAGCAGACACGTGTTACCGCATGCACGATGCTTCTCTGCCATTACCTTCAGGAGAAGACAGACTGGAGCGGTGCCTCCAGATACCCCAGACTCGCCGGGCATCACGAGGGAGCAATACCGCAGGCTAGTCGACTTCTACCATGTTTCTAGCGACAAGCTCGATCAGGAAGAGAAGATACATGCGCCCTTGGCTTCTCGCTTCTTCATTATTGCAGAGCAAGAAAAGGCAGAAGAGCAGCAAAACCGACTAACACCTCCGTCTTCTAAAAGAACCGTTCTGCCCCCCAGGAAGGGAGGACAAGCGGCGATTGTAAAGGAACTCCGACACCTCATCAAGGTCTCTGCCCTGGGTAGGGTCTCGCTCGATCAGTTGTGGGACCTGTATGGACGCCTTTTCGCTCCACGTCCTCGATTTCTTTCCGACGCCGATCTCCGCCGACTTTTGCTCCATCTGGGCTTTGTGGAGCATTGGTATGAACCAAATGCGATGATACGCTACTTTCAACTTCTGAACGACTGCATCGCGCAACGAGTGCCCATAGATGATCACATCTGGACTACAGCCGTTTCGTTTGCGGGACGATGGACGAAGCATGTGACTGATGCCGAGGTCAAAGGCGCAATTGAGACATGGACGCGGATGGAAGAGGCAGGGCATAGCGCAGATCATGTCACACTGAACGTACTGTTCGATGTTGCTGTCAAGGCGGGCCGATTTGCGCTTGCAGACACCCTCTACAAGGAGATCCGGACGAGAAAGATGCCACTGGATCGCTACTTCCGCGGCAGCCTCATCTACTATGCTGGCATGAAAAGAAACGGCGACGATGTGAGACGAGCATTCCGGGAGTTTGTCGCAGCGGGAGAGATTGTGGACACCGGCGTCATGAACGCTGTCATCCTCTCCCTTCTTCGAGCTGGTGAGGTCGCTGCAGCGGAGCAAGTGCTTCTCCGGATGAAGCGCTTGGCCGCGGAGAAGATCAGTGTCCCGAGCCCAGTGGACTGGCAAGACCGCAAACAGCTTCAAGCGGAGCTGAACGCGGCTGCACAGCGCCTGCGAGCGGAGAAGGAAGGACACGAGTCATCCTTCTTTGGCGCGTCGTTTTCGTCGGAAGAAAGGCTCGAGCAAATCCAACAGCAGACTCCAATTGCCCCTGACTCTACAACCTACACCTTTCTGTTGCAGTATCACGGAAATACGACAGGAAACGCCGAACGAGTGTGGCAAATTTTGCAGGAGATGAGCATCCGAGGGCTTCGCGTCCCCCCTGCTGCCTACGTGCACATACTCAGAGGCTTTCGGCTACATGGTGGTTATGCATTGTCCGGATGGAACCATCCCCAACTCGAGAGATGCTGGAAGATGATTCTCCGGGACTTGGAAAGCGACGATGCCGAGGCCATTCTGCGAAGACCCGCATCGGAGCCGCAACAGGCAGAGGATTACGACATGCTTGGTGCGATGCTGTCCCATCATGCAGGCCTCCAGTATGACATTGCACAGACTCCCACAGAAGCGCGCACAGCGAGTCCCGACGAGCAGATGCCAGACATGCATCCTTCCGCCTCTAAGCCCCTTTCTGCCACGACCTCTGCTCTGCCTTCATTTCTGGACAGTGTCTCACTGCAGCACTTGACCAACGCTGCACTTCTCCCAGAAGGAGAAGGAGGAGGAGAAGAAGAAGAAGAAAAAGTAGAAGACACTTCTCCTCCGTCAAGGCCGGAGATGGTTGGCGAGAGCAGTTCTGCACGGTCCCGAGCTCGGCAGGTACAGATTCGTACCAGCGATACGGGCCATTCGTCCTTCCTCGATAGCCTGTCGCTCCGCCACCTGACTGATGCGGCGCTGCTGCCCGAAGGAGGCACTCCAATCGAAGAGGTGGTTGCAGCAGAAGATATTGAAAGGCTGGACGAGTCATCACATCGTCGGTTCGAGCCTGTGGAAGCAGTCGATAGCACTCCGAAAGTCGTGGTGGGGTCCAATGGCAGGTCTGTTGTTGTTGATGAGGATGAGGATGATGATGATGACAGCTTTGACTCTAATCCCATCTGGCGCCGCGAACGGTTCCCTATGCACCGAGATGATCCTCGTCTCGTGTCCCGGGTAACGGCTGCCGCCACCTCGTTGTCGCCCTCCCCCTCCCCCTCCTCCTCGTCCCGCACGCAAGCAGCAGACCCCGACGAGGGGGGTCCCGAGGAGGGGAGTGCGGGCTCGAGATATGCGCCTCCTCCCGGGCAAAAGCGGGTTGCATTATCGTATAGCATGGCAATGGAGGCGGTGAGGGCCTTTTATCAGTGCTGTGGTCGCGAGCGGATGCAACAAGTGTGGGAGCAGATTTCAATGTTGTGGCATGATGCGAGTGAAGCCGAGCGAGTGGGAGTGGAGAATGAGGTGCGACGGATGGCGAGACATGCGAGTCGGTATGAACAAATGGATGAAAGGAGGCGGCATCAGCAGTAGTGTCAAGATCGAGACGTGTGTTGTTGTTGTTGTTGTTGTTGTTGTTGTATAGATGTGAAGATTGGTGTAATGAATGACATAGCTTACTTCGCATACCTAGGTACCTCCTAAGTGTACTGTCTGTACATACCTGAGGTATAATGAGACTCTGCTGTCTATCGTGAAAGTGAAGAAGACGAGGAGACGGGAAGGCGGAAGGGCGGAAGGGCGGGAGGACGGAAAGACGGGCAGACGGTGTTTGTGTGGTACCGAGGACCGACATCTTCACGGGCTGATCGGGTGAAACAAGCGCCGTCTCCCGTCCGACGTCCGTTGGATTCACTCACTCACTCACTCACTCTCTCTCCTTTTCTCCCTCTCTCCTTCTCCTATACCCCGGGAGGATCACAAAAGAGGAGTGGTCTCAGTGGTCTCAGTGGAACTCGATCGTAAAAGGTACTAACATGGCTGAGTGGGAGTGATATAGTAGTCATCAGGTCTCTCTCTTCTCGCTGGCTGGTGATGATGATCCCGTCTTCAGGGTTTCACTTATGGCTGCACTAGCGCGCGCTAGTGTTAGCGCTAAAAAGGGGGAACGGGGCGATGGATTGGTTCCAGCAGGAGTAAGCGTGCTGACTCTACCGTACCTATATTTTATTATTGTGCTTCTAATAGGTAGTCCAACGGAGACACCTCCTGGCGGTGGCTATTTAGCCATCACTAGTGCTCCTTTTTGACTTCTATCTGCCGTATTCGATCGCGCGATAGCAACGCTAGGAAGTGGTTTTACGCGGCCCACGTCGAAATCAACTACTACCTATCCTATGTATGGTCGGGTAATGGTGGGTACTGGGCGGGGCGGGCAGCACCCTCAAGACGAGATGGATCGCATATGTAGGAGAGATGATGGCCCTGAACACTCGGAGCTACTGACCGACTGTGACACGTCAACCCGACTACTGGTATTACTACTTCCTGCTAGTACAACTACTACTCTTGCTCATATGAGTACCACTACCTCCTAATATCAGAACGACCATTATGATGACTTCGAAGATTCAGCGTCGAAGAAGCGCCCGAGCAGTACGTCCCCGGAGGCATCAATCCATCACCTCTCTCCATCTTGACAACAAGAAAAAACAACAACAACAACAACATCATCATCATCACCAAACAACAACACGAAGAAAAAGTTCTCGCCATGCTTACTGGAGCGTACCGTAGTGCGATCAATGTCGAAGGCGCAAGATGCGATGCGATGGGGAGTTGGGATGTGCGGCATGCCGTAATATTGGGTGCGTGAGAATTGATCTCTTGCTGTATTGGTTCATTCTTGGTATTGATGACGACTGGTTAGAACAAGTCAGCATACTGATGGCGCTGCGGTAGGTTGGAATGCTCCTTTGGTCATCCGTTGAAGCAATCCAAAGGGCCGGCATACATTGCCATGCTGGAAGCGAGGGTGAAAGAGCTCGAAGAGCGACTGGCAATGGCGGTAGCGGGAATTCTCTGCGATTCTGATACCACAGCAACTTCACGATCGACTTCAAGTTCGACTTCAGCCTCTATTTCGAGTGGTGTAGGCGAAAGCAGATCGCCCGAGGGAACTTGCACCAACACCACTACCACCACTACCACCACCACCTCCCCAGGCATATCTGGGAACAACAACAACAACATCAACAACAACAAAGCATTCGGACTGGATGTCTTGCGCCGACTATGTGCTCCCCGTCTGATCATGAGTCGAAGCATGTCGTCCTCGCTCTTTGACGCCTTGGACTGCTCGGAACAGGCGCTGATGGCCTCGCCGCTCCATTCACGCCGCTCCCTGCCCGACCAAGCAGAAACGATGCGGTTGGCCGAGGTGGTATGTGCCGAATCGTTGCGTCTCTGGCCCTTTTTGTCTCCTGGCCATATCGATCAAGCCATCCTGAAAGTGTATGGCTCGGGTTCTCCTATAAATGGACAGCAATCGAGTGGCGGCGGCGGCGACGACGACGACGACGACCTCGGATTGCTGTTTGCCATTCTCGCCCTTGGACGGCGTTTCGACGTGGCCACAGACAGATCCAGCACTTCTCACAATGATGATGATGGCGATGATGGCGATGCTGCTAATGCTGATGACAACCAGGGGTGAGTCACTCCATCCACAGTTTCGTTCACCAACACCCTTAATGACTTCCTTTGCAGACGACGATATTTCGCCACTGCGCGAGAGTTGGTGCCTCTGGCAAACTGTGGACGCAGCTTGACCACTTTACAAGCCGCTCTATGCTGTACACTCTACTTGCAGGCTGCCTCCGCCCCGACTATGGCCCATGAATACATCTGCGCCGTGAGCAACGCGGCTATCGACCTGGACTTGCACAAACCCGCTCACGGTCTGTCCGAAGACGAGTATGCGTGGCGACAGCGAGTGTGGTCGAGCATTCGCATTCTCCAAGTCTACATCTCCGCCATGGTGGGAGTGCCTCCGCCCGCGGCAGATATTGGCCACCATCAGGAGACAACTCCTGCGTTTCCACGACTCTCCTCCCCTGACGGATCAGATCCGGCGTCCTGGAAAGTCTGCGAGGCACACGCTCAACTGGTGGAAATCTTACGCTTGGGCTTGCAGACTCTATCGGGCGGCGAAGATGAAGAAAAAGGAGAAGAGAGCAACAACAAGACGACGTCTCAGTCCGAAGAACATGCCCCTGACTACGCTTCACCCAGCAGCCACTCTATGGCTCGAGTCCACAGCAGGTTGGCAGCGTGGGCGGCAGCAGAGTTGGCTTCATTGCCTTTGGTCGACGACATGTCACGGTCCGTACTGACTCCCTTTTCCCCCCTTTTTCTTTTTTCTCTTTCCACAAGATTACAACAACACATGTGGTGGTGGTGGTGGTGGTGGTGGTGATGAATGACTGACTAACAGACGAACATGTAGGGACCAGCTGTTACTCCTGTACTCCTTCGACTACGTGCAACTCCTCGTATACTCGCCGTTTCTTCACACTTTGGCCTCGTCCGGATCCGACCCCATCTCCAGGAGCTACAGGGAAACGTGTATCGATGCTGCAACGCACGCCGTTCGTGTAGTCGAGTTGCTGTATAGCCGATCCCAATTCCACGAGGCTGCGGGCTTCTCGATGAATGCCTTGACGTTTGCAGCCATCGTCCTCCAGTTCACCGCATCGTGTTCCACCGACGACCCATCACTGGCAGCCAATGCAGTGCATGTAGCACGCAGCGCCAATGGTCTGTTACTCGCTTCCTTTAACCAAAACTCGGCGGCGGCGGCCCTCTCCAAGGCTTTGTTGGAGGAGGGACCCAACTCGCACGGCTACCAGGCTCCCCCTGATCCCGCTTCTCGTCCATGTGGTGGTATTTGGAGTGGTGGTGGTGGTGGTGATGGTGGTTATGGCGAAAGTACCGATGCCGTGCCATGGTGGACGACGTGTGACTATTCTCAGACCAACGAAGCATTCAGTCACGTTTCGACTACAAGTGACGATCGAGCTGCACCGGATATGACCGATATGGAAGATATTCCTTCTTCCGCTTATACCACGAGCGCGGCAGCAATGGCTATTGTCGACGATTCGTTTGATCCGAAGCATTGCCTCCCCCTATCTGGACTACAATCCGGCCTGGATCCTACTTGGTCTGAGCCGCATTTTCTCAGCACCGTGACGTGGTCGTCGTGCGATGGAAAGTAATGTCACTGTTCGACTCGACAGATGTGCAGTAGTGCAGCGGAACCATGAATGTGTTGACGAGAAGAAGAAAAAGTAATGAATATATATATACATATACCGTAGACGGCGATGCATACGTAAACTTGCTTCAAAAAGCCCCGAGTATATGTATATAGGTATATAATGTCATGTAGTCGTCTCGAAAACGACCAAGCCCCCATCACAGTGATGCGACTCTTTGCAGCGCAAGTTCTTCATCTCGCAGCTCATACTTGTTTGTCTTGGCTTGTGGTGGTAGTGGTGGTGGTGGCAGATTCACTTGAAACAGGAAAATGGATATGTCGCATTTTATGTGAACAGTATGTCTGTCGAGAGAACTTCTGACCTACCTGCTTGCAACTTGCTCGCATTCCATCCAGCTTCTCACCCTTGAACGAAGCATTCACATGGTGCCAGGCCACGACGGCGGGCATGCGGACTCTTATGGAGATCATATCACATATTCGCAATGGCAAGAGGCGGCATCCTCGGGCAGCAGATGTGTATATACGAAATGGAATCGTGGCTCGAGACCAGCAACAGACATCTGATAGGCACTCTACCACATGTATGTCTTCTTCTTTTTCTTCCTCTTCCTCTTCCTCTTCTTCTTCCTCTTCTCCATCTTCATCTTCATCTTCATCTTCTTCCGGTCTGAAGCGCAGATGCAGAATAATCTGGCAGTGCGCAAAGAGGATCTGGCCCGAGTTCTGGATCTGACTTGTTGATGAATCGAAAAATCATACAGGATTTCCGAATATCTCATCCTTTCTTACCAGCTGGAGCATGTTGGGACACCGTCTGCATGTACCTCCGGAGACGAAAGCAATACCCCGTTCTGTAGTGCAGCAGGATTAGGCATTCTGAAGTGGCCGCTTGAATTGTCGAGTCAGGAATGTGAACTGATCAGATGGCAGTGATTCCCGGACTCCAGACGTTCCCAATCCGGTCCACCTCCTTGAGAAACTTGGGACTGTTGATCTGCATATTGCCTTTTTCTTGGGCAGTCTTTGGATCATGTTCATCGGGCACATAGAAGGGATTCCTCAGGAGACTGACGTACGCCTGTTGGAGAGCTTGAAATGCCTGCTCAACACATTAGAAGGTATCCATTTTCTGGTCAGAGGAAAAAGAAAGGAAAAAGAAAGGAAAAAGAAAAGAAGAAGAAAAGAAAAAGAGTCCAGTGTACCGGCGTCAAATCACTTCCTCTCAGGCCCAGCATTCCCAGCTTGGCCTCCTCCGCATTCCGCGCCTGTCTCCCCTCCATGTCCACCACGATGACCAACTTGACGCCAGTGTTGAGCAGCCAGCCATACATGGCGATGCGCTCATCCAGAGCGTGCAGCAGACCGAAATCATGGCCAATCGCCTTGGTAGGAATGCGGGCTTCGAAGATGTCGAGACACGAGTTGAGCATCATATGGTACTCGAGCTGGTCTCTTTCAGCAGCATATTGGGATTCTGTAGAGCCTGTCGCTGGGAAGAGGGCGATATGAAGGGGGTTGTTGTGGCGGCCCATGATGGCGATGGCTGCGATGGAGGGAGCGCGATCCATCTTCTTGTTCTTCTTCTTGTTCTTCTTCTTGTGATGTTTCCGGTGGTTGAATACAGTTGAAAACAAGAATGAAGTGAGGATGGAAAGGGGAAAGGGGAAAGGGGAAAGGGGAGGGGGAGGGAGAAGGGAAAGGGAAAAGTAAGTGAAGTGAATGAGTCTGGGGGAGATATCCAGGTGAATCTCGGCGAAAGGTAATTCCGAGACCGACAGACCTGTTCCTTTCAGCCAGTCGGCTCTATCCTCAATCGCTGACGCTTCCTTCAATCCATTGCCACTGACACTTCCACTGACACGACCACATTGACCTCGCCGTCCACAACTCTCCTCTCCTCCCTCTCCCCTTCTCTCCTCAACTCACCGCTCCGCTCCGCTCTACTCCTCCGCCACTCACCACTCCTCCTCCCACAACCCGCCACAATGCTGGCGACATCACGCCAGGCCACCTTGGCGCTGCGCGGTACGCTCTCGAGTCCCTAACACCCACCACGCGCGACGGACATGACAACAACAGTACTGACCCTTTCCCCTCCTCTAGCTGCCCAGCCGAGAACCGCCCTCACGCCCTTTAAAGTCGCCACCGCCTCCATTTCACAGTCGACGAAGAAGCCCGCACAGGAAGTGGCGCCCGTACGAGGATATGGCGCAGGAAATGTCAAAGGCAATCCTGGCCCGCCACCGAGCATGAAGGCGCTGAGCAAAAAGATGGACCAAGAGGTGCCTTTGGCCAGTCAGGAAGGGAACAAGAGTGCGGTACAATATGCGCTGTAAGGACATCAATCATGAACTCCTCCTGCGTGGCGTTTCTTTCGGGAATGCGTATGGACGTACACACAAAAGCTGACATGGCGATATTACAGCACCACGCTCGATGCCATGGCCAATTGGGCACGTCAAGGCTCCCTCTGGCCGCTCACTTTCGGTCTCGCCTGCTGCGCCGTCGAGATGATGCACTTGTCTACCCCCCGATACGACCAAGATCGCCTCGGCATCATTTTCCGTGCCTCGCCACGACAGTCCGATGTGATGATTGTTGCGGGAACCCTGACGAACAAAATGGCGCCAGCCCTTCGCCAGGTCTACGATCAAATGCCTGATCCGCGATGGGTGATTTCCATGGGTTCGTGTGCCAATGGTGGAGGCTACTACCATTACTCGTACTCGGTGACGAGAGGTTGTGACCGGATTGTACCGGTGGATATCTATGTTCCAGGGTGTCCACCGACGAGTGAGGCGCTCATGTACGGCATCTTCCAGTTGCAGAAGAAGATGAGACATACCAAGATTACGAGAATGTGGTACAGGAAGTAGAGCAAGGCAGGCAGAGCACGAGAGTCGGCATGTGATTTCACACACTGTGTATTTGGGCGTTGAGAGGAGCGGGAAGTGCTAGCTGCTACTAGAGAGAGCTCGAGCTACAGCATCACAAAACAATACCTACTGTACCTACTGTAGGATGTGTACATATTGCAGAGTGGCTTGCTGTATTGTTGTTTTCGGTCATATGTGTGCCCACCAATCGTTGATATACCGGGACGGTATTGTTTTATATGGCTCGCTCCTCCAGTGGTGAATATATATATTACCTCCTGGTATTACCGCTTAGTAGCTGAATTTGAAACCACCATTGGCGCAGACCACGCTGCCGGTACACCACGCACTGTCGGGCGTACACAACATGGCCACCACTCCTGCAACTTCATAGTCATAGCCCTAAAAGACTGGTTAGTATCTGATGTTCGCAGCCCATCGACTGACAGACTTTTCCGGCAAATACATATCATCACATCACATCACATACCGGTCGACCTCCCGCCAGCTCAGCACCCTCCACCAGATCCTCACGATCGACGTCGGGTCGAATGGCAGCGAGGGGTGTATTTCTCGTCCAGCCCGCCATCTTGGCCTGAAACTCTTTCGAAGTGCTCATATACATGTCCGTCGCCACCGGGCCCGGATTGACCGCATTCACCGTCGCCCGTTCGCTCAGTTCGCGCGCCCACGTTCTCGTCATGGCTTCCAATGCCGCCTTGGTGCCTCCATACAAACAATCCCCCCCGAAGCCCAGACTCGAGCTGACACTGCTCAGATTCACCACACGTCCGCTCCGGTCTTGTGGCAAGTAGGGCAGGGCTGCCTTCATCAACAGCAAGGGACCTCGCACGTTGACATGATACAGCCGGTCGAACTCGTCGGGTTCGGATTGCTCAATGGTGGTCTTGCTGGCAATACCGGCATTGTTGACGATAATATCAATCTGAAATTTGCCGCTGCGAGGGTGCGCAAAGTTGTTCTTGGCCATGTTGACAATGTGTGCCGGTCCATTGATATTGCCCATGTCGGCTTGGACGGACAATGTCTGGACCTGGTGCTCATCGTGCAGTTTCTTGGCCAGCTCTGCCGTCCGCTCTGCGCTCTGGTCCGAAGTGTAGTTCAAAATGAGGGATGCCCCCTTGGCTGCCAGATTCTCGCATACTGCTGCTCCGATACCACGGGAAGCGCCTAATAATGTCGCGGTGAACACAGTAAGTCTGGTGTATCATTCATTTCCCCCTCCCCCCTTTCAACAACCGCCCCCTCTCCCCTTTCCCACTGATTGGAGGATGATGATAATGATGATGATGCTGACCTGTAACAATGGCAAGCTTGCCTTCGAGCACTCTCCAACCGCCACTCGGAATGTTGGTCGTCGAAGCCCCACGAGTGTTGCTGGGACGAGACATGCTGGATGTGATGTCGAGTTAAACAAGTGAAGTTCTGGTGGGTTAATGTATAATACGAAGGAATGGAGATGAATTGATTGTTTCCCTTCAATCAGTGCGTGAAAGTAAGTGAAAGTGGCAGACAGAGGTGGAGTCGATTGCGGGTCATGATGGCATTGCTCTCCCCCCTCCCCCTCGCCTTGGCATGATCAAATAATTCAAAGTCAGCTACATGTAGTCTTCGTTGAATACATCCTTACGACTGACAACCGACTTTCTTCGCTATACAACACGAAAAAGTACAAGAATTCCAATCAGGAGTGACAGGAAATCAAAGACTGACAAGAATTTCAAAACGCTACAGCGGCCACCCGCAAGTCGTCACGACTCTCTCTCTCTCTCTCTCCACACACACACACCTCACCGTTGAACAACAATTCTGTTGGGAGCTTGAGAATACAGCGGCCCTCGCATAGGGCGGCGGCGTGCCATGTTCGGCATCCCATTTGACACCAAAGTAGCCGGACCAGCACCTCGCACGCCGCGGATCTGGGAGACCTGTGGATCCCTTCCTCGCTGGCTGTTCGGCGCGGACGGTAGTGTGAATGTGCCCTGTGAGTAACGCGCTACTTGTATCGCATAATCGCCTAGTGTAATGCGCCCGAGTACTCGACGGGAGCTGGGATGTGGCTGGAGCTGGGAGCCTGAGGTGGACTGGTAGACTGCGCGCTGTGGTACGCCGCCGTTCAGACGGCGCGATAGAGGCTCTACTCGGGCAGGTCGTCGACTGTGAGCCGGGCTGTGTTGCGCGTCGCTTGACAATAATGGACCACGCGTGAGGCCATGTTCGATCGTGGAAGTTGGTGGTGGAGCCATGTATGCACGAGTGGGAGATTCAGCAGTAGGTCCGACATGCGCGCGGCGACTCTGCTGGGAGATCATCGCGGAAGATGGCAGCATTCTATACTGACGAGCTGGTCCTCCGCTGCCGCGAAAGAATGGGCTCATGACAGAAGAAGCAGGCTGGTCATGATCTTGACGCCGTGTCGGTGCCTCTGATCGCGAATAGGCGTCACGGACGTTCGATGTTCGTTCGTATAGGTTAGCTGATGGTGGCAGTGCAAGTGGCTGCGGCTTAGGCATGTCTTCGAACATCTCGGCGTCCTCGACATGCGGATAATGACGATCCAGAAGACTCGGCTGGTCCTCCCCTGGGGCAAGGTCCAAGTGGAATTCGTTCTGTTGTGGACGTCCATCGTCACGGTGTGAAGCGGGAGTCCGGGAGTACATGCCGGCAGGCGGGAATGGCGGAGGTCGAACATATAGCTGTTCTTCTATTCGGGGCTCCTGAAACCTCTGCTGCGGGGCAATTTGTGCTCGAACGTTGGGTGATGCAGCGAATCTCTGAAGAGGCTGACGCGGACGCGCAGGGCTGGACAGGCGCATGGATTGTATCGCAGGCAATGAGTCTTGGTGCCTACGAACCCCCCCGCGAGGCTGAAAGGCCCGCCAGTCTCGACTTTCGTACGTTTGTACCGGCCGTGATGGCTGAGACTCTGGTTGCAGCTGCTTCGCCGGAGATGGGAAATGTCGAGACTGGCTGGTAGAAACAGGCTGGAGATGGGGCACAGGAGGTTGCATCGGTTGAGATTGTCTCGGAGGTAGCAGTGGCTGGGACGGCAAATATGAAGCCTTTCCATGCGCAAGATCTTGCTCGATCTCCTCATTTTCGGGGAACGGATCGTCCTCGACAGGACGCTTGCGCTTGGAGGAAGATGTGTTATACCTCTCGTCGACTGCGGAAGTCAGCATCATTCTACCCTGGTGCAATTGACGGATACACATACCCAGTGTTGCTGAGGAGTCGCCTCGGACGGGACGTGATACTGGAGGTTGCTGCTCGCGCACGGGTGGTATGTCATACAGTCCGTAGGTCTTCATCTCCACGTTGTACCCAGTCTTGACCAGCTCTCTGCGCATGATCTGCATCGCTGTTAGCGAGCTTTCGAAATCAGCAAAGACGGAGAGCGAACCTGAATATCAGCGGCCATTTCCGCGACCGCGCCCATGTAGTGCTTGATCTGCCCCTTGCGGCCTTCCCAGCCGAGTAGTTTCTTCTCGGCCTCCTCTTTCTGCTTCTGCAACTCCTGATAGTCAGCCTCCAGCTGGCGATGAAGCTTACGCTCTTTGTGCAGAACGTTTTCCATGGCGCGTCGCTTGCGATCTGCTGACTTCCAGCGCCGGGAGACGTCTTGAGAGTAGCACTTCATACGACTGTACTGAAACTAAGTGTGGTGTCAGTGATGGTCTCGCCGCCCACATGGTTCAGTTTCGCTCGAAGGACATACGCGTAAGGCTTCCACACCAGCATCGTTGCCATCGAGTGAGACGGGCGGACACTTGACGTAGATGCTGGGGATTGCTGGATCCATTTTGTCTTGCGTCAAACCTCGAATGCCATATAGATTCCGGACGTCGTGGTTGTTCTCGGATCGCACACACACCGGGCATTCTGCCTGCGGTGGATCGCTGCTCGAATGGAAAGGGACACCTAGAGGAGAATGCGTTAGCCAGGGAGCGCACGAGCAACCTAATGCCGCCGAGCCTGTGCGTGAACTGACCGCCGCCTTCCACATGGCGACCGCAGAAGACATGAACACAGTTTCCAATCCACAGCTTGATCCCCATGCCATCGTCGTCGTCGGCGGCGTGCGAAGCCGGGTGGTTCTCGTGGGCAGGATACAGCTCCGACACTGTCGCCTGGCAGATGCCGCAGCTGAAGATGATTTCCTCTAAGGATGGGACGGCGTGTCTGTTGTCGTCATCGCTGTTGGTGCGCGTGGGCGCCATTGCGGGCGGGTGTGGAAGAGTTGGTTGGTTAGATAGGTAAGGTAGGTAGGATATGAGGTGTTGGAGGGGGACTGGAGGGAGGTGAAGGTGGTGAAGGTGAAGAGGTCAAATGTCAAAAAGTCCAAGTGGGCTGCCGCGCCAAATGCGACCCGTCGACTTCCCGTTCCCGTTCGCGTTCTCATCTCGCGTCGACGGCAACACAAGAGGAAGGGACGACTGCCTGCTGAGGTAAATACAAGTCGGTACAGGTACTCACCGTCCCGTCCCGTCCACGAGAAGCTCAGTATGGTATGGGCGAGTGGCAGACACATGGGAAAAGGTGGTGTATATGTTCCAATCCTTCCATTGTAGGTATGTATGTGAATGTCCGTAGGTCTTGTACGTACATTCATTCACCATTGCCGCTGCTCGCTCACTCACTCACTCACTCACTTACCCACCTATCTCCCTTCTACGCCATACTGCACTGTAACTCCACTGCACTGCACTGCACCTATACAAAGGTCCGACATGGATATCTGCGAAAAGACCGAGTTAGCACTGGAGTCCTATTCCCTGTATCACATGCCCGACAGATACATACTCGGGTCCATATGTCTGCTCCGTGTCCTTGATCAAGGCGTAGGCGCCCGTCTTGGCGTGCGTGCCCCGGTGCATGCTCGTGGGGAGCGGCGGCAGTCCATTGGGTCCCAGTACGTTGCTGAAGACCTGCTTATTCTTCTCAAAGTACGTGCTCAAGCCCTTCTCACCCTCCTCCTTCACCTCTACCAGCTGCGTCTTGCCCGCATCTCCCAGCTTCAGCGTCTCCTTGGGCGCAGCAGCAGAGCCCACAGTCAACAGGCCCACCACATCTGACTGCGTCACGGTCGATAGCCGGGGATACGATCTTCGTACGTCGCGCTTCCAGTATGGATTCTCGGCAATGTCTCCTGCAGGCGAGGTCACAGGATCAATGTACTCGGTCGGGTCGTTTGCGGCGGGAGGAGGATTGCGAAAGTGAGGGTTTAGAGGCACACCCGACGATCGGCCTGGGTCGAGGGCGAAGAATCGGTGTATCCGGCCCCAAAAGCCTTGCGGTTGGACGGTGTATTTCTATCTGCTCGTCAGTAATGGTGGTGGTGGGCGCGGCGCATGGAGCGAGAGAGGGAGGGCTGGGGTGAGGGTTGAGTCGCACATTGAGCTGTGTGGCCTTTGCAGCCTTGGAAATGGCCTTTTTGGAGACGGCGGTGGCCATTGTGCCTGTTGTGAGTGTGAATGCGAGTAGAGTGTACCGATAGGTAGAGGAGTAGAGGTAGAGGTAGGTGGTAAGAGGTTCGAGGTTGTATCAAGACTCGGCTAGACTTGCTACTCCACCTACTATCAGGTCTTCTTCCAGGCCTGAGGCACCATTCCTTCTTTCTTCACATCCAATAAGACCGCTGACACCTCAGGCGACGACAAGATTCCTTATTGAAGGTCTGTACATCTTCTACTACCTTACCTCTAGGTACACTCACTCAGGTATAGGTAGGTAGGTAGGTAGGTATACAATGCATGCACGTGACTCTCTACTGTCGTTGGTGGCAAGTCTTGCCGAATGTCAGGCAATCAGGCAGTCAGGCAATCAGGCTTCCATCCCTTCTCTTCTACTTTCCTCTCCTCTCCTCTCCTCTCCTCTCCTCTCCACCACCTATACCATAGGTACTCGGACAACTCCATGAACATGTCCCTCACATGATCCAAGAATTCCAACATGCCGCGCGAGGATGCGGACTCGTACGCTCACCAGCCCTTGATGGTGGCCGACGACGATGACACCGCCACCATCACCGCCGCCTCCTCTCCTCCTCCTCCTCCTCGCCGGCCCGCTCAGCTTTCTGTTCGCTCCGCCGGCCCCGTTATCCGCTTCCTCACCCTTTCCGCCGGCATCTCAGGACTACTCTTTGGCTTCGACACGGGTGTCATCAGCTCTACCTTGGTCTCCCTCGGCTCCGATCTCTCCAATCGTCCCTTGACGACGTCCGACAAGAGCATCGTGACCGCCATTACTTCGTTATTCGCCTTGCTCTCCGCTCCCACTACTGGCTTCTTCGCCGATCGGTATGGCAGGAAATCCGTCATTGTGGTCCCGGCCATGCTGTTCGCTCTAGGAGCCGTTATCCAGGCCGGGGCTAATTATGTCTGGATTATGGCTGCTGGCCGAGCCTTGGTCGGCGCTGCTGTCGGCGTGGCAAGTGGTGCTGTGCCGCTGTACATCACCGAGCTCGCTCCTGCTGAGCTTCGAGGTCGACTGGTCACCATCCAGTCCCTATTCATCACCGGTGGACAGGTCGTGGCCTACTTGATCGGCTGGGCCTTCGCAGCACTGCCTCATGGATGGAGGTATATGGTGGGTGTGGGAGCAGTGCCCGCTCTGTTGCAACTCGCTCTCTTGTTGTGGATGCCAGAGACCCCGAGATGGCTGCTCCAGACGGGGCAACAGGAACGGGCACGTGCTGTCCTGCAAGCCGTGTACGCGACCCTGGCATCGAGTGAACGAGACTCCATGGTCGACTATGTCCTCGCGGGTATTCACGCAGAGATACTGGAAGAAGACAAGACTCTGCAAGGCGTGAGTACAAGCAGCGATGGCACTTCTGGCTTCCGAAATGCTTCCAAAGAGCTCTTTGCTACTCCTGCAAATCGCAGAGCCTTGACTATCGCCTGCATGCTCCAAGGTTTGCAACAACTGTGTGGCTTTGTATGTGCTGACCGAACCCGATCCTGGCCGTGGCTGACGTGCTATAGAACTCGTTGATGTATTTTTCCGCTACTATCTTCAGCCTGGTCGGCTTCACATCACCCATAGGCACCTCCCTGTCCATCGCACTGACCAACTTTGTCTTCACTCTCGTCGCCTTCGCCCTTATCGATAGCGTGGGTCGACGCAAGATGCTCCTGCGGACCATTCCCTTCATGGTCCTGGGTCTGCTGGCGTGTAGCGTCGCATTCATGTTCATTCCACCCAGCCAATCACACCTGACCTCTAACCCAGATGGTATGCGTAATGCCAGTGGAACTTGGTCAATCGTTCTCCTGCTCAGTCTGATTCTGTACGTGGCCGCGTACGCCTCGGGCCTTGGAACGGTGCCTTGGCAGCAATCCGAATTATTCCCGCTGCGTGTACGATCCCTCGGCTCTGGCCTTGCCACCACTACGAATTGGAGCAGCAACTTTGTGATTGGCATGACATTTCTGCCCATGATGAACATTTTGGGGGCGAGTACGACGTTCACGCTGTATGCTATCATTTCTGTGCTGGGATGGGCGACCATCTGGACCATCTATCCCGAGACGGCGGGCTTGGAGCTCGAAGGCATTGGTGAAATCTTGCGAGATGGCTGGGGTGTCACTGAAAGTATACACGGCTTTCGAGAGCGGCAACGGGAAGCCTGGGAGCGTGAACATGGAGGTTGAACGGTGCGAGGCTCCCGTTTACACACTCACACATACATCTCCAATGTCATGAATCAAGGACATGTCGCACATGATCATCTCGTGCGCACCAACGTGGAATGGGGACAATCAAGTGTCATGCAAGATGCTTGCGGTCACATCTAAATGTGAATAAATACATCGGCATGGCGATTCTCGAACCAAACAGATACATTTCCCTCCTTCCAAACTCCGCGCTCATTGGAAAAAGCAAAGCAGTCCGCAGTCTGCCGTGGTCGTCTTGACAAGATCTATTCGTCATCTCGGGATAACGGACGAAGCGCACTCACGTGGTGGCTGGATTCTGTCCAGTATCAGGCGCAGCATTCTCGGTGCTCGTACCCTTTTCCACCTTGGCTTTCTTCACTTCGCCCACACCATCGCTCGCTCCATCCCCACCGTACGTGTTGGTGACATCCGACATGGCAGGTCTCTTCGTTGCTGCACCGGGTGGCTTATAGCCATTACTGTTCCGAAAGCCTCCACCTGCTAGTGGCATGCCAATCTTTCGACTCGTATCGGCGGCGGGATTAATGTAATTGGTCGCAGTCGGCCGTGATGCACCACCCACGATGTTGCCTGCGCCCACGCTAACGGGCTTGAAGCCTCCCGCGCCACCTGCCGTCGCCTGCGCCGCTGGCTGCTGACCTGTCAAAGGCTGTCCTGCTGCAAGTTGTTCGCGTCTGATGGGAGCTGACACGCGAGGATTGACACCCTGCGTTCGTCGTATGGATGGACTCTCGGCGTGTGGATTGAACGCTGGATTTGCATCGGGCTTCGCGAGTGCGCGCCCGGACATGAAACCTACAGCAGCCCCTGGTGGGGGCATACTGGGCTCGTCGACCTGTGCTTGGACATTGGCGGGATGATGTGGCCGTTGCTGGGCGTGCGCTGTTGGCGACTCCAGAGTACTTCCCGATGAGGAATTCGACCGGACGCCATCTGGATTCTGTTGAGCGTTCTTATTCGTCGTCTGCTGCGGTTGGGGCTGCGGTTGCGGCTGTGGTTGCGGTTGCGCCTGTGCTCGTTGTTGGTTCCCTGGCGTTTGCGGCGGTACCATTCGCTGCGCTGATTGTGCTGCATTCTGTGGCTGTCGCTGTACGGCTTGCGGCTTTGGCGGAGCCTGCATTCTCGTGACTGGAGCTGGTGGCTGAATGTTCGGCGGTGGTATCGTGGGCATGGAGTGCGTTCTGGACATGGCCTGTCGCTGCCCATTCTGTTGCGGACCTATGGCTCGTTGCACATGCGCGGGCGGACCATTGCTGATTTCGGAGTCGTCCAGCCTCACTTCATCGGGATGGCTGAAATCAGTCTCATCAAACTCGGCAGTCTCCCCAAAATCATCGTCAAACTCTCCCGAGCCAGCAGAATGTGCGGACTGCAAGCTCGTGTTCCTGCGAGAGCCATTATCCCTCCCTGGCGTTGGCGCCGCCTGTATTGTCGGTTCCTTCTTCACGACTGCGTAGTCTGGGTGTCGATGTAGATTGTCGGTGGTCCATTTCGAGGGTGCAACCTTGACTTTGGTGATTTTCTGCAGGTATTCCTTGTCGTATAAGCAGTTGCCGAGCACGTTGCCAAAGTTCCGCAGTGCTCGCTTCATAGCGTCGGTCGCAGCTTCCTTTTTCGCCTTCTCGAATGCAGCAGCTTTGCCTTTGGTATTCTCGCAATGTCCGTAGCCAATGTCTTCGTGGAATGTGCCATCCTTTACTGTCACTCGCACAATGGTGGACAAGCCCAAGTTGATCCGCCCCGTCTCCCTGTTCTCGTCCACAAAGTCGATTTGGACGTTCTGAATGGACGAGCTCCAGCCATTGAAGCCAAAGACCTCATTGGCAAGATTGATGACCTTTTCTGCCGCCAAGTAGTGCACCTTTCCGCCCCCAGCACCTGGTCGCGTAGAGATGTATTCAGGGCCCAGTTGTTTTTCGAGTCGGCTCTGCAGAGTGGCAATCTCCTGGGCAGTGTATTCGGAAATGCGCGGTTCGGATTTGACGAAGGGGTTGACGGTGTTGGCGTTGTCGCGGTGTTGGTCGCCTGGGCTGAGGGCGAGTCAGCATGGGCAAGAAATAGTGCGGTGGGAGCGGATGTGGTGCAGTGTAGAGGTACTTACGCAGGCATAGTAAGCTATCTGGCAGCGAGCGGTGAGGGGGTGGGCATTGTATGTGTTGTGTGATGAGGGCGGAGCGGAGTGGGGGAGAAGGTGGAGGTGGTGGTGGTGGTGGTGGTGATGGTGGTGGTGGCAGCAAGGTTCGTCGTCGTCGCTGTCGCCTAGAGAGAGTGGTGGGTGTTGGATGTTGGTGCAGAGTTGAAGTCGCGTCTCTGTCCCGACGCGTGTGTGGCGAGGGTGTATGTGGCTGCTGCTGTCGCTGTGGCTGTGGCTGATTCTGTGGCTGAAGAATGAGCAACGTGTACCTCCTAGTCACCGGCGCATCTTTGTTCGCCGGGTGTGAAGCTCAATAGGCCGACGACCGGCCATCAAAGATATTACCTATATATCAGGCAGGCATCAGTCTCAGCAGTGTCAATATACCTTAAGCACTCACTTTTTTCTCACGTGCCTGGACTCGCTGCCCTCGCTGACCATCATCACCGCTGCCCTCCACCTCCCCGCTCCGCTCCGCTCTCCTCCGCCTCCGCCTCCGCCGCCGCCTCCTCGCCGTCCGCCAGGTCGACGACATAACCTGAGGCACGAAAAGCTCTCCAGAAGTCCCGGCGCCGATCTATTTGCCTCTTCCGGCCTTTTCGGAGCCAAACAACCACGACGGGATACCCCAAGCTACACGTAGCTACATAATCTTCTATACTCGCGCCTCGAGTAGACGTCCTGCTGGCATACCAACACCACCACCACCACCACCGCCGCCTCCTCTCCTCCTCCTCCTCCTCCACCCAACGCTTGTCCAGCGAGATATTCTGCATCTACACGACCCAATGAGGCATCAATAGGAGTCGTCACATCAGACCAACTGCCCGACTCTTCCACTCCCAGCATGGCGCATACGCGAAGTCCTCCTTCGCGGCGTGCACCATGGTCTTCCATCTTCACCCTCACAACTCTGCTGTCCTTGTCATCATGGCTTCCTGCGACGCTGGCGGCCAAGACGGCAGCAGACTACTATGTCACCAATCTGCCTGGAGCACCTGCAGAACCCAGGCTGGACATGTGGGCAGGCCATCTCGAGATCACGCCCCAACACCATGGCAACCTCTTCTTCTGGCTCTTCAAGAACCGGCACATTGCGAACAAGCAGAGGACAATACTATGGTTCAATGGTGGACCAGGCTGCAGCAGTATGGACGGCGCATTGATGGAAATTGGTCCGTACAGGGTGAAGGAAGATGGCACACTACGGCTTCAAGACGGCAGCTGGGATGAGTTTGCAAACGTCTTGTTCGTGGATCAGCCTGTAGGCACGGGTTTCAGCTACGTCGACACCGACAGCTACATACACGAGATGGACGAGATGGCTGAGCAGATGGTTACATTCTTGAAAAACTTCTTCAAGATCTTTCCAGAATACGAGCACACCGAGGTATGTTCCACAGAGAGCGTGAGTGCGAGGGAAAACAGGAGATTGATGTGCTAACCTGTACGACAGCTCTACATAGCAGGAGAGTCTTACGCAGGGCAATGGATTCCGTACGTCGGTAAAGCTATCCTCGAGCACAACAAGAAAGACGCAGCGCACGCCTGGAACCTCCAGGGTCTTATGATTGGCAACGGTTGGATCTCTGGACCCGAGCAGTACATCTCCTTTCTCCCCTTTGCCTACGACAATGGCTTAGTCACCGCGGGATCCGACGCAGATAAGAAAATACTCGAGAAGCAAAAGCTGTGCCTGCAAGATCTGGACGCGGGAGCAAAGGACCACGTCGACTCCCACATTTGCGAAAACATCATGCAGGAAATCCTGCGCCTCACGCAGACGAGTGATGGCTGCGTGAACATGTACGACGTGAGACTGCACGACAGCTATCCCAGCTGCGGCATGAACTGGCCTCCGGATTTGACCCAAGTCACACCCTATTTGCGCAGGGATGATGTGAAAAAGGCACTCCATATCAACGACGACAAGAAGACGGGTTGGGTGGAGTGCAACAACCAAGTCTCGTCACATTTTACCGCCAGAAAGTCGAAGCCATCGAGGATTCTGCTTCCCAAACTACTCGAGGAGCTGCCCATTCTCCTCTTCTCCGGCGACAAGGACATGATTTGTAACCACATTGGCACGGAGAACCTCATCAACAACATGGTGTGGAATGGTGGTACGGGCATGGAGTTGTCACCTGGAGTGACGGCTCCTCGTCGAGACTGGACGTTTGAAGGCGAGCCTGCTGGTGTGTACCAGACTGCGCGTAACCTCACCTATCTGCGCTTCTACAACTCTTCGCACATGGTTCCCTTTGACTACCCACGTCGCAGCAGAGACATGCTTGATCGATTCATGGGCGTGGATATTGCCTCTATTGGCGGCACACCCGCAGATTCCCGCATCGATGGCGAGAAAGGCGTGGAGGTTTCCGTGGGCGGTCACCCGAACAGTACGGCGGCTCAGGAGGCCGAGGCCGAAAAGGTGCAAGCGGCGCAGTGGAAAGCGTATCAGCGGTCGGGAGAGGTGGCATTGTTCTTTGTCATTGTTGCAGCATCCATCTGGGGAGTCTTCATCTGGCGGGAGCGGAGCAAGCACAAGGGCTACAGATCCATCTTTGGCATGGAACCTTTTGACGACCGAGGTCCCAGTGGGGGTCTGGGACTTGATATTGATTCGGCGAGAAGAGCGGAGCGAGACGTAGAGGCTGCACGAGACTGGGACGAAGCCGAACTGGATGATATGTCGCAGAGCAACGGGCGGCACAAGGAGATGTATCGCGAGAACTTTAGTGTAGGAGATGATGATGATGATAATGATGAGGAAGAAGAGGTCGATGGGCGGCGGTACGGGAGACCTGCGAATGGACATGCGTCGTAGCATCGGCTCAACATGGAAATTGGTGTCTAAAGGGTTGCATATAGCGTTTCTGCATTATTGTCAACATCCATTTGTGATACCTCCTACTTCCTACCCAGCTGGTACCTCCTAGTGTTATTTATTTTCTCCCTGCCGAGACATATGGCGGGTGTTTCCGTTTCGTACGGTCGGCCAAAGCGGCCAACCGCCATCCGTCACCCCCGACGTATTCTCATACTAAATACACTTCTCTATACTACAACGTCTACTTACTACTACCCTATAAAACCTACCTTCCTACCTTCCTACCTTCCTACCTACCTACCTTCCTACCTACCTACCTTCCTACCTACCTACCTTCCTACCTACCTACCTTCCTACCTACCTACCTACCTACCTACCTACCTTCCTACCTACCTACCTATCTACCTATCTACCTACCTACCTACTAGGAGTATTTTCTAGGATTACTTTCGCGGGTTTCTCTATAAAGGATATAGTTAATAAACGTCTTAGAATAATAGAAAAAAAGATAAGGGAGCAGATACCTATATATATATACTTTGTCCTTAGACGCTCTTTAAAAAGGGTCGGTCCGGATAGTAGTATCTCCGCTCCGAAAGTTTGACGTTATTAGTACAGAACGACCTCCCTCTCCTCCTAGAACCTCCCTAGGTACCTTAGCCTTCCGAAGCGCAAAGAGAGAGCGTCTGAACGGAGATAGCTTCTTCCTAGGCCTCCTCTTCTCCCTAGGCCTCTTCTTCTTTCTAGGCCTCTTCTCTCTAGGCTTCCTCTTCTTCCTAGGCCTCCTCTTCTTTCTAGGCCTCCTTTTCCTAAGCCTTCTCTTATCTCTAGGCTTCCTCTTCTCTCTAGGCCTCCTCTTCTCCCTAGGCCTTCTCTTCTTCCTAGGCCTTCTCTTCTTCCTAGGCTTCCTCTTCTTCCTAGGCCTCCTCTTCTTCCTAGGCCTCCTCTTCTCCCTAGGCCTCTTCTTCTTCCTAGGCCTCTTCTTCCTAGGCTTCCTCTTCTTCCTAGGCCTCCTCTTCTTCCTAGGCCTCCTCTTCTCCCTAGGCCGCCTCTTCTTCCTAGGCCTCCTTTTCCTAGGCCTTCTCTTATCTCTAGGCCTCTTCTTTCTAGGCCTCTTCTTCCTAGGCCTCCTCTTCTCCCTAGGCCGCCTCTTCTTCCTAGGCCTCCTTTTCCTAGGCCTTCTCTTATCTCTAGGCCTCTTCTTTCTAGGCCTCTTCTTCCTAGGCCTCCTCTTCTTCCTAGGCCGCCTCTTCTTCCTAGGCCTTCTCTTCTTCCTAGGCCTTCTCTTCTTCCTAGGCTTCCTCTTTCTAGGCCTCCTCTTCTCCTTAGGCTTCCTCTTCTTCCTAGGCCTTCTCTTTTCCCTAGGCCTCTTCTTCTTCCTAGGCCTCTTCTTCCTAGGCCTCCTTCTCCTCCTTCTCCTTATCCTCCTTCTCCTTCTCTTCTAAACTTTAGGTAAGGTAGCCTATAGGAATAGATAGGTAGGTAGGTAAGTAGATAGATAGGCAATACGATACTACTATCCTCGGAATCTTAAACCGAAAACTACTTTCTAGATCTACAAATAATACTGATTTTAAGCGTAAGTAACTATCGATAACCTATATTAAACTCGACAACGACGATAGATACAGCTATCTAGCCTTTACTAAACTTGCTTAGAATTAGCCTACCGAACTCCTCTAAGTATCGCTATAACTATACGACTAAGTACTAATATCTTCTTCTCGGGTAGGCGGGCGTCTTCTTCTTAGGCAGGCGTCGTAGGCGGGCGGGCGTTATAGGCGGGCAGGCGTCGTAGGCAGGCGGGCGTCGTAGGCAGGTAGGCGTTATAGGCAGGCAGGCGTCGTAGGCGGGTAGGCGTCGTAGGCAGGCAGGCGTCGTAGATAGGTAGGTATTATAAGCGGGCGGGCGTCGTAGGCGGGTAGGCGTCGTAGGCAGGCGGGCGTTATAGGTAGGCAGGCGTCGTAGGCGGGTAGACGTCGTAGGTAGGCGTCTTCTCCTCGGGTAGGCTATAGGCGTCGTAGGTAGGCGTCTTCTTCTTAAGTAGGCGTCTTCTTCTCGGGCAGGCGTTATAGATAGGCGTCTTCTTCTCGGGTAGGCGTTATAGGTAGGCGTCTACTTCTCGGGTAGGCGTTATAGGCAGGCGTCTTCTTCTCGGATAGATATCTTCTTTTCGGACGGGCGTTGTAGATAGGCGTCTTCTCCTTAGATAGGCCGTAGGTATCGTAGGCAGGCGTCTTCTTCTTAGGCGGGCGTCTCTTCTTAGGCAGGCGTTGTAGGTAGGCGTCGTAGGTAGGCGTCTTCTTCTCGGATAGGTATCTTCTTCTCGGATAGGTATTATAGGTAGGCGTCTTCTTCTCGGGCGGACGTCTCTTCTTAGGTAGGTATTATAGGTAGGCGTCTTCTTCTCGGGCGGGCGTCTCTTCTTAGGTAGGCGTCGTAGGCAGGCGTCTTCTTCTCGGGTAGGCGTCTCTTCTTGGGTAGGCGTCGTAGGTAGGCGTCTTCTTCTTAGGCGTCTTCTTCCCGGGCTTCTTCTTCCTACTTCCTAGATATCTCTATCTCTATCTCTATCTCTATCTCCTTCTCCTCCTCCTCCTCCTTCTTCTTCTCCTCCTTCTCCTCCTCCTCCTTCTTCTTCTTCTTCTCGGGTAGGCGTCTTCTTCTCGGGTAGGCTTCTTCTTCTTAAGCGTCTTCTTCTCGGGCGTCTTCTTCTCGGGCGTCTTCTTCTTAGGCGTCTTCTTTAGGTAGGTAGCTTTATCGGGTAGGCTTCTTCGGACGGGTATCTTCTTCTAAATTTTGAAAAATATAAAAAAAGATAAGGGAGCAGATACCTATCTATACGTACTTTGTCCTTAGACCCTCTCTCTTTAAAAAGTATAGAGGTCCGGGTAGTAGTATCTCCGATCCGAAAGTTTGACGTTATTAGTATAGAACGACCTCTCTCCTTCCGAAGCGTAAAGAGAGAGCGTCTAAACGGAGATAGAGAAGAAGAGGCCTAGGAAGAAGAGGCGGCCTAGAGAGAAGAGGAGGCCTAGGAAGAAGAGGCCTAGGAAGAAGAGGCCTAGGAAGAAGAGGCCTAGGAAGAAGAGGCCTAGAGATAAGAGAAGGCTTAGAAAGAGAAGGCCTAGAGAGAAGAGAAGGCCTAGAAAGAAGAGATAGAGAGAGATAGAATATAAATATATATACAATATATATAATATATATAGAAAATTGGCTAATTCTATACTACTACTAGATAGGCCTATAGAAAATTTTCTTATTCCTCTTCTCGTTCTTCTCTCGTTCCTTTTCTTATTCCTTTTCTCGTTTCTCTTCTCGTTTCTCTTCTTATTCCTCTTATTATTATTATTCTTCTTCTCGTTCCTCTTATTACAAAGTCTCGTTACAAAGTCTTGTTATTCCTTTTATTTTATCTTTTGTAACCCTAACCCTAACCCTAACCCTAAGTCTCTTCTGTCTCTCGTCTCTCGTCTCTCGTCTTTCGTCTCTCGTCTCTTCTCTCTATCTCTTCTTCCTAGGCTTCCTCTTCTTCCTAGGCCTCTTCTTCTTAGGCCTCTTCTCGCTTTTCTTCTCTCTAGGCCTTCTCTTCTCTCTAGGCCTCCTCTTCTCTCTAGGCTTCCTCTTCTTCCTAGGCCTCCTCTTCTTTCTAGGCCTCCTTTTCCTAGGCCTTCTCTTATCTCTAGGCTTCCTCTTCTCTCTAGGCCTCCTCTTCTCCCTAGGCCTTCTCTTCTTCCTAGGCCTCCTCTTCTTCCTAGGCTTTCTCTTCTTTCTAGGCCTCCTCTTTCTAGGCCTCCTTTTCTCCCTAGGCGTCCTCTTCTTCCTAGGCCTTCTCTTCCTAGGCCTCCTCTTCCTAGGCCTCCTCTTCTCTCTAGGCTTCCTCTTCTTCTTATCTTTCTCTTCTGAATTTTAGGTAAGGTAGCCTATTAGGATAGATAGGTAGGTAGGTAGGAAGGTAGGAAGGTAGGAAGGTAGGTTTTATAGGGTAGTAGTAAGTAGACGTTGTAGTATAGAGAAGTGTATTTAGTATAAGAATACGTCGGGGGTGACGGATGGCGGTTGGCCGCTTTGGCCGACCGTCGTTTCGCAGCCACCAACCTAGCAAGCTTCATCCTGCGACACGACAAGCGAAGTCAGTCAGTCACTATACCTTAATTTACACCTCGAATAGGTATGGTATAGGTAATTCTGTACAGCCACCGCCAGAATGAGCGACGACAACATTCTGCAGACCAGTCTTACGAGGCCTTTTCTTCTTCTTCTTCCTTCTGCCCTCTCTTCGACCTGGATTGTAGGAACATGACTACTACGCTGCTTGCTCTACCCACCACCACTCGAATCCTCCTCCTCCTCCTACTCCTCCTCTTCTCCTCAGCGACGACAACCCACGCTGCTCAATGGCCTCACAATCTGCCTCGATCGGCCAAATACTATCCCGAACACCAGTCGCAGGTGGAACGCGGAGTCCGCGCGCAGCAGAAGTTGACATGGCAGCAGCCGGTGGGCATGAAGAAGCTGAGCGATGACCCGAGCGAGAAGTTTTATCTTCACTATTGGGACTTTTTGGAAGAAGGAGGAGCAGAAGCACAGGAAGTAGAAGAAGCAGAAGCAGAAGCAGAAGATGTTGGATATGGAAATATGTCGAATCTGTTGCCCGCTATCGCGCAGCATACCAACCACGAAAGACACTTGGCTTCATTCCTCTTCCACCGCCGTAACGTTTTTGCTCGAGACTTCAAATGCCCTACAGGAACAACTTCTTGTGGCAGCGTGGCCTCGGATCTCTGCTGTCAGATCGGAGAGTCGTGCATCAATACAACAGAGGGCATAGGGTGCTGTCCCGCAGGCGCTTCATGCGGTAACGAAGTGGGAGACTGCGATACTGCTGCAGGCTATACGAGCTGCCCGGGCGCTGGTGAAGGATGCTGTATACCGGGCGCAGTGTGTGTGGATGGCGGATGTGAAGTGTTTGGCACCGCGACTGTTACGAGAACCCTCCCTCTGGCCACGGCCACTGCTACTACAACGAGCACTATCAGCACCAGCAGCGATCATGCTACGACATCCACAAGCGCTGTGTCGAGTAGTAGGTCCTGCACTTCTGGCTTCCACTCCTGTGCAGCGACTCTGGGAGGCGGATGTTGTCGAACTGATCAAGTCTGCGGCACTAGCACCAGCTGTCTCGACCGGACCACCACCTCTTCAGCGACAGCCGCACCGCCTGTGCGACCGACCAGCGGCGACAATTCCATCTCCTCTGCTTCTTCATCTTCCCGGACCACCACTACCACCAGCACCACCGCAGCCACGATCGAAGGCTGTCCCACCGGCTTCTACATGTGCTCCGCCGTCTATCTGGGTGGCTGTTGTCGCGTCGATCGGAACTGTGACACTACTTCGTGTCCGCCGTCCGCTACGACAGCTGTCGTTACCACCTCCGGCCTGACTATCGCCGTTGCTAGTGCTGTGCCTACTACTGGCTCGTGTGCGAATGGCTGGGCAACGTGCGGCGCTGATGTTGGGGGCGGCTGTTGTCCTTCTGGATATCAATGCGCCTCCAATTGTATCAACACTGCGTTAGGGGGAAGTAATACGACGAAAATGGCTCCCGAGTCTGCTAGTCCTAGTACTACTATCAGCGCTTTTGCTTGGGCCTTTGTAGCAATTGGAATTGCGGCCGGGCTAAGTATGATCCTACTATAATAGAATGAACCTATATCGAGTATAAAGTATCCCGTCTCTCTCTTCTTCCTTCTCTCCTTCTTCTTTTTCTCTCTCTTCTTCTTCTCTCTCTTTCTCTCTCTCTCTCTCTCTCTCTCTCTCTCTTCTCTCTCTCTCTCTCTCTCTCTCTCTCTCTCTCTCTCTCTCTCTCTCTCCTCCTCCTCTTCTACTTATCTCTCTTCTTCCTCTTCTTCCTCTTCTACTTATCTCTCTTCTTCCTCTTCTTCCTCTTCTACTTATCTCTCTTCTTCCTCTTCTTGCCCCTACACACCTTTTGCTAATTGATTGGCACTCCACTCCCCCCTTCCCTGACCTACGCTTCGCTTCGGAAGGGAGGGACGTCGTTCCGTACCAATGATTGGATCAGGTTGCAATATCGAGAGTCTCGAGAGGCTGAGCTGCCGGGAACTGTCAACCCCCTCGTGCTCGAAGTGATGTTTCGGCAGCAAGCTGATGCATGGTCGAGCATCAGCGAACGACGTGTCCTCAAAATAGAACCTTCCCTTGATGCTACCGTGCAAGGGAGGCACCAAGCACGGTTCTATCGTGCCTTAGGTACTTTAGGTATTACCGTGCTTTCTACCTTCCTCCGCTCTCTTAAGGTACTTCTCCCTAGCAGTCCGCATCGGCTAGTCTGCTCAAGAGTCCAGATCGTTGGGAGGTCAGATCAGGGTAATTACTACGATCGTGAAGCCGAGATCTAGTCATTTTACCAACAAGTCGGGACCCGGGAATCGCTTGTAGATGCGAGCAAGGTCCCACGCTTCTTCTCTGCATGGCTAGGCCTAGCAGGGCGGTGTCGCGTGACGTCTGCCCTACCCAAATGAGGCTTTCCGAGGGAGGCCGAGAGCCACAACAAAATGACAACAAATTCGAGTGCTATCGAACAATACCTTACATGTATCCCTCGTGCTCCGCCTCTCTCCAATACATGTATCCCTCGTCCTCCGCTTCCGCCTCTCTCCATCCAACTCCCCACGATACAGACATTGTCATTTTGCGAAGATGATTCTACATCCTTTTATTTGTACGGACCACAGGGCTTAGGATTAACACAATCCGCAACAGTAACAAACTCCGAGCCCGCCGCCGAGCACTGGGTTTTACAATAGTCCACGAGCCGTTCAAAGCCACCATTAATACAGCTTGTATCGATACAAGTCGCTGGATGTTTTCCTGCAATCTGGAACAAGACTGATTTCTCTTGTCCGAGAGTGAATTGGAGGTTCGCCGCAGTGGTGCAACCGTCCATAAGATCTTGGTTGTTTTTGTGGGTAGCTATGAATCGGTACTGGCATTGCCAGGCATGGGAGAGACTGGAAAACAAAAAAAATGCGTGGTCAGTATCAGTATCGTAGTAATAGTAATCCGAACGTGTTGAATTACCCTGTCATGGACAGTATAGCGATGAGAGAGCTGCGCATCTTGAGGGTAGTATCGAGCCGACGATTGGGGTTTGCGAAGATGATTTGTTGCGGAGGCGAAGTGGCGAGTGAATGCTGATAGCTATTCAGAGCGGCTTGGTGACTCTGGTTTTATATGGTAGAACGGATACCATGCAAAGCTATTCGCACGATGAAGCGGGTATTTACCCTCTCGGGAAGATAAGCCAACCTGACAGAAGCAATACGAGAGATGCTTAGCATGGTCTGGTCTGTGTCGATGTTCCCAGGAGCATGGTTAAAGTACCTGAGTGTTGCCTGCGTCGCGAGATCCTTGAGTACCTACATGTAGTAGCAAGAATGGGTTCCCCCGACTGGCAGACAAGCTCGGAGAAGCGCAAGAGGATCCGGCTGATGAGGATGGACGATGGATGAGCACCACCAAAGCTGTCACAAAGGGCCTGAAGTGAGTAAGCGGACATGTAAGCGTCAGCGTCAGGCCGTGAAGCCCGCGATGGAAGGGAAGGCTTACAGCTAGATGAGGAACTGCGCTGGAATGCCAAGCCCTTGAATGAGGCTGTATCGACCGCACTGGGAGCCACGCGCGTAAAGGGCAACATAAAGACGGTCCTTGCCGTAGAGAAGGATACAGACGATATCGGGATACGAAGTGCCTGCTTGAAATACCCGGCCGGCTGTATCGACGGCACGGGGAGCCACGCCGTGCCGAACGATGCCGTGAAGATGACCGCCAAAGACGACCATCCCAATGACCACGACGACTTCTATCACCGTCCGCAGACCACGACTTCTATCAACGTCCTCTTGAAACAAACGAGCCCCCAGTCTCGTCTCAACTAGGCCCAAACTGCCTCTCCGGCTGCTACCTGTTCATCTGACTTTGGCAGCTTCGTGACCTGTTCGCCATTGGCCGCTCCCATCTCCCAGGCCAACTGTCCCAGGATCGCGCTCCTGTTGAACGTAGAGTCGATGCAGAAGCCTGCTCTCGGCTTCTTGTCCTCACGAGGGCATTCTGCATTCTCGCCGTCTAGAGTGTTGCCAATTCGTTTTATCAGGCTGATTCTATACGACCGCTCATCACTCATCCGCCTCGTCACCCGGATCGTAAAAGGACGTTGATACAAGAATCTCATCCAGCTTCCGCTTCTCTCGAATATTGTTGCGAACGGGGAAGTTTGCCGTGTTCTCGGATACAAAGTCTCTTCGGTCGCGGAACGGCTGTGCCTTCCTGTATCAACCTTCTCTAGTCCTAGTGAGGTGCGCTTACCATCTCGAGTCTACACTTCTACCTACGCTGAGAATTGGTCTGTTTCTGGGAAGCAATACATAGGGCAGTCTTGATATTCTGCCGGTACTAGTACCTGGCAGGGATTTTGCCATATACGTGCCGACGTAAGGTACCCGCAGGGTACAACATGTCCGCTGGGAGAAGGCAGTACTATACGAGATGTCCCGGCAGTATAGCGACCCTCTGCAAGACTCCAACAACATGGAACATAGCAGGATGTCCGAAGTTCCTACCAGGTGTTGACCCCTTCAAGATGCAACGTTACCTAGGTAGGCTAGTAAACGCGCGCTTGGCGCAAGGATGGCTGGGCCTGCGTCGGAAGCGAACACCATGCTCGCCTATAGGTAACCTGGAAGCGCGTCTGTCAGAAGCGCCAGTTCATAAAAGGCTAATGTTCCTAACCTGTCCCCGACCTGCTCGTCTCGGTCACTTCCGACCCAGACTGTCGGAGGCGCTAGTGCCGTTCCCCGACGAACGCCTGCATCGGAGGCCAGCAGGGTATAATCTCCTACTAATAGGACCGGCCTTCTAAGGACTTCGCGATGTCGAGAATAGCCGCGGGAGGAGGGCCGTAGAGCGTAGCGTTGAGTATATTTCGCAATCACAGTAGACATGACAGATGTTGGTTTCTATTAAGTAGCTACAGACGGAGCATTACTCCTCCTATACCCCTACTTACGGGCGACCAACTCTTCAGACTGGTCGGGAAGTCGACTAGAAACAAGTCGCATATCTGTGCAATGTCTTCGAACAAGAAGGATGCCGCCATAATAAGCCGGAGTACAGTGTTCCTGTGGTGATTCAACAAGAAATCATGTCCAGTACGCTGCGTTCGCACCCTAGCGGCGTCGCTGGCCTACCGTCTTCGGGAACGAACGCACCGATGCTAGCTTTCTCCGACGATGTACAAATCGTTTGCCTACATGGCGGGTATAGAATAACGGCGGCGAGAAAATTTTGAAAGGTGCGAGACTAGTGGTGGACCGTGAAGGTCTTTGGTAAAGGTACCGTCTGCGATGCCATGCATTGCGAGCAGAATTCTGATGACATACAGATCTGCCCCTCCCGGTGCAATAGGAAATGCAACAGGACTATGGACATTGCCTCAATTTCGCGGATGGCGATATCTTCCGACACATCTTGAACGCTCGCGGCCGAGGCGATCTTGTCTGTAAGAAGAAGTGGTATGCACGCTTGAAAGATGGCAGAAGGGTTACCTTACCACCTTACAACATTATCACAATGGCGCGCTTCTCCAGGTATTTATAGAGCTCAGTGCCAACACGGCCCTCGATTGGCACGCGTTCAACTTTTGCAAACTACGCGAAATTATGCAGATGCATTGTGAAGAGGTCGGTTTCGCTCCTCTGCGCCTTGAAAAGTGCGTTGACCCCAATGTAGGAAATCTTCAGTGGAATGACTTCAGTCCGTCAACTCTGGACCGACATGCTCGGGGGCGAAATTAGAGGCCTTGATGCTGAGACGGTTCGTCTGCTAAGGCACAAGATGCCGGCGCACTCGTCCAACGATGCTGCCTCCATCATCCTAGAATCCGGGGGAAAGCGTGCGGACTTCAGTGAGCGTACCGAGGATCGGGGGAAAGCTATTGTCTTCGCGTGCCGTCCAACTTCGTCCAATTATGAGCACTTACCTGGTTCTACTTCTACACCTACGCCCTTTCGCCGAGGGATCGCATAGGACGAGGAGACTTTGCCGAGTTCATCCATCTATAGTCTGTGACCATGCGTCAGTCTTCTGAGCTGATGAACCTACAAAACGCTTCTGCGGACATGGAACTCGCGATAATACCGTCGCCGCAGGATGACCCAGTCAACACTGGCAGACAAGCTCGGAGAAGCGCAAAAGCAAGCTCCTCGAGAGATACCGTTTGTGAAGGAGCCTATGAAGCGGAAATGATTGAAGATCCCGTGGTAGCATATTATCTTGATCACCGCAATAATGCAGCTGTAGACCCATCTTTGGAGGATCCGGCTGATAAGGATAGGACGACAAGAGAGCATATCATGAGCGAGTGCACGCGAATTGAGTAAGCGGGTATGTAAGCGTCAGGCCGTGAAGGTTTAGGTAGATGAGGAACTGCACTGGAATGCCAAGCCCTTGAATGAGTACAGCCGCAGAAAGCCTTGGCACTGCACTTGCCCTGAGAAGACGTTCCGCCTACAAACGGCTTTGACACCTACCTCTATCCGAATCCACAATCTCTTACTGCGACACCAAGATGGGGCTCAAGAAAGTAAACCCGAGCGCATCTCCGCCAGCTCCGCCTATCCATACCAGTACCGAAAATCTGCGTTCAATTAACGACACCTGGTACTGGCGTTTTCTAACGCTCGCAGCCATCAAGCTCCTAGGCTCTATTCGACCGAGACAAGGGATGATACTATTCATTACACGAACACTCTGCGTCAAGTACGGGCCCTTGCGACATCTTCCAGAGGCGTCTACGATGGAGTTCATCGCATGTAATACTTCCATTCCGGTACCGAAAATCTATTGCGCTTTCACTCACAATGGATGGACATATATCATGATGCGAAGACTTGGCGGCGAATGCCTTGCATACAGCTGGAAATCGAGGTCGGCGGAGTCTCAGGCCAAGATCCTACAGCAGTTGAAGGAAATGATAGATGGTATGCGCCGGATTGCACCACCCTCTCCGGCCGTTGCAAACATTGATGGAGGTCGACTGTGGGACTGTCGACTACCGGGAAGCACCCTTACCTTTGGACCGTTTGACAATGTCGATTGTTTTCACCAGTACCTTCGAGGCGGCATCAATTCTCAATCTACCTGCCACTACCCGATGGCCGTGAACGAACTCGTACAACTACACACTCGAGAATGGCCGCAACCCGTGTTTACTCACGGTGATTTGAGCAGCCTGAATATCCTAGCAGAGGGCGACACAATCACCGGTATTGTAGATTGGGAAACCGCCGGGTGGTATCCTCATTATTGGGAATACACAACGGCGTGCCAAGTGAATTTCCGAAACACTTTTTGGCGTGAAGAAATCGACAAATTTCTGGATCCATGGCCCGAGGAACTCAGAATGGAGAAGCTCAGACAGGCCTATTTCGGAGATGTATAAGAAGTGCAATCCTTTCTACGGAAAAAGACAACTGCTTTGCGACCCCTATTGTTCTATGCATTAGTACCTGCGAATTACGGAATAGTCTCTGCTCCTTCAAGTAAGTCGTATGTAGCGGGCTTGCTCATATCGAAAGACCCTCTTCCGTCAAAGCGGTGCTCTTGCTTCTTTCTCTCAATATAGGCCATTGCTGTATTCCTTAGCTTCGTCCAATCGAGCTCGCTAGTACCCATAGCCTTGCCATCCTCTTGCAGGCGCTTGAGCGCTTCCACTACCCAATATACACAATTCCAGCCAGCAACACTATCTCGTATTGGAACGTTGCGCAGTATCTCCTTCAACCTGCTGTTCTTTTCCACCTTTCCTACGCAGATTCGGACAAGGAGCATTTGTGTAGCTCCAAGCGGGATCTCTTTCTCCTCGAATATCCATCCCATCGTTCCGTCTTGTTTCAGTCCTTCTTTGGCGTGGAATCGCCAACCTCGGCCTGAGGTTTCGTCCTTCGGCCCTACGATCAACGCCCAGTGGTAACTTCGAAGTACGTGTCAGCTTTCGATTTCAGTGACGGTATTGCCCATAAACCACGCACGTATCTTCTAGCGTCGGCATCTTCGACTGGCCACCACGCGCGTAAAGGGCAACATAAAGACGGTCCTTGCCTGATGGCATGACGAGTTGAAGAGTCAGGATATTCGTATTTGTTTGAGAGGAAACCTGCTAAACAGAAGCCGTTCTATACCGATTAGCGAACATTGAAATCCAGCGCGTACCGCTTGCACTGTACCGAACCAGCTCAGCGGGCCTCAAGGCTTCGGACTACATCCTGTTCACAAGCCATCGGACCCACATACCGTGCAGCAAATGCTTCTTCCACTGGACGTGCAGTAATGTCAATTTTGTGCAACTTCTGAATTTCTGTCGCAGAACGACGGCCAACCACCTGACTGCGAAGACCTACACGCGTCGTAGCAGGTGCAAACGTAGCCTCAAGGACGTTACGGCCAAGTGTAGAGGCGACGAGCGAAGTGGCGCCGTCGCACTGTTAAGGCCTCGTCTACTTTGTCGATAATTGTGTCGATAGTAAGCAGGTCGATAGTTTCCGGTTACTATCGCTTATGCTATTGACACCCGTCTACTCAGCTATCGACCAAAAATGGACGATAGTTACCTGTCGATAGTAAAATGCTCGTATACCCTCGTAAACCGTCGCCGTCGCTGCCTACGCACTATATCCGGTTAGTAAACGCTCGGACATAGTCTACTATCTCAAATAGTCCTCCTAGAGGTACATTTTGCGCTCCGTACACATTCAATTAGGTTCCGGGGCGGCGGCACAGGTACCTAGGTAGTCGGTCGCGGAGCGACGACAGCGATAGCAATAGCGACGACGGCGACGACGGCGACGACAAGCGACGACAAGCGACGACCGGCGACGACGGCAACGACGGCGACGACGGCGACGATAGCGACGACAGCGAGCAACGGCAGCGACGATAGCGGCGACAGCGGCGATAGCGACAGCGACAGCGATAGCGACAGCGACAGCGACAACGACGACGACGGCGCGGAGACAAGGGTATCCCTATATAGAACTATTGACAGGTATCTACTTAGCTATCGTTACTATCGACGGATAGACGCTAACGATAAAAACCGACAACTATCGACAAATTAACTATCGATATATCGATAGAGTAGACGGAGCCTAAGAGAAAGACGCGCGATATACAAACTATACTATATGTCCTACTCCCTTTGTCGGACGGCGTACTGTATCGACTATACTAGGAGCTACGCCGTACCGAACGAATTACTGTCTATAGGCTTATCCTCTTAAAACAAAGGAGCGTTGTTTGAACTATATACTATACTAGTGCCTAATTAAGAAGAAGATCGAACTAAGTAGATTTAATTGATATTAGAGGTCTAACCTATTAAGAAGAGAAAAGAGGGAGGTAGGTATCCCTAACTCTATATACAAATGCTAAGAAACTACTAGCCTCTATTCTCTTATATAATTTATATTATATAATACTAGAGCACCTATATCTTTCTATTTAAATATATCTCTCTTAGCTTAATTATATAAAAAGCAAGCTAAAATATCTAATATAGTAACTATCTATATCCTTACCTAATTCCTAAACTCGTTTAGAACAAATAAAACAATCCCTTTAGAAGGTTCTTTATAAACCTATTAGCTTACTATTTAGCTATTCTAATCTATTTAATAGTTAATCGTCTAGCTATAGTTTCCTATCTAACCTAGTATTAATAGATATCTATATACCTTAAAGCTATATAAAGTAAGCCCTACTTATAATTAGCAATATCTACCGCTTGTTAGTTATTATAGAATATTATAAGAAAGGAAAGTATAGTACTACTGTTATAAAGTAACTGTACTATATCTAAAATGCTCGCAAAATAGGTAATATACCTAAAATATACTTAAATTAGTACTAGAGAATAGCGATCGATACCTTACAATCTGCTTTATAATATACCGTTACGTCTATATCGATATTCGGGGTATTGCTATTACTATTGTAAGTACGCCGTCTCTAAGTTTAAGATCGCGTATATACGTAATAGCCTTACTAAGCCGATCCCTTTATCCGAGGACGTATATATTATTTTACTATTATAGTTATATATTAAGTATCTCTATACCTTCTTTTCCTATCTCTCTAGCGTATATACTATAGTATACGGCTATAGTACTACTATCGAGTACTATAGGGTATTAGGTTTAGTATTAGTATAAAGCGCGCTAGCGCGATTACCCTTAGATAGCAGATTGCCTATAAAGTAAAGAGTTTGTTAGTATAGACAACGAAACCGATAATAGTAGCGACTAACTAATATAGCGGTAGGTACTATCTTAAGACCTCTTTATCCGTTAGAAAGTAACTATATAGTACTAATCTTACTACTAATACTACTACTACTACTACTACTACTACTACTATTACTAATATATCAAGGAAAGAGGCTATTAAAGATACTACTTTTGTCCGGTCGCTAATAGTATAAGGTATACTAATATAACGATAGTATAGTAATATACTACTTGCTACTACTACTAATTCCTCGCTACCTATAGCTACGTATAGCTCTATACGTAGGTCCGCGCTTTCCGCTCGACTACCGATACTATTACTACTACTAGAGGGGTTTGCTCCTTAGGAGCTTAAGAAGATTGTAGCTAGCCTATCTACTAGCGCTATTGTTAATAAAGATAGCGATAAGAATAGCGATAAGGACGACAAAGGAGACAAGAATAAGAATAGCAATAAAGAGAAGAATATTAGTAGACGGCCGAAGGGTAGCAAGGCTATATTACGGCGTCCGGTAGCTTGTAGTACCTACTATACTAATACTAGTAATATAGCCTAGACAACTACGAATACGAAGCGTAAGAGGCAGATACTCTTATCGTATATTAGCCGGATTAAAGAGACTAATACTAGTATAATTTGTACTCCTTAGTATAGTCCCTATACGAAGAAGGGAGTAGTTTGTCGTATATATATACGCGCCGCTAGTAAGCAGTATATTGCTCGCAAGATTGCCGGCAATAACTATACCTATACTCGCTACTGCTTCTATAGTAGCTAGGCTCGGTATTTGTAGTCTAAATATAGCTAAATCTCTTCTATACGTCGTATCGGGTAGTAGTTGTTGTATAATAGACGTATTGTATATTCTATACTTATACTATATAGTCGCTAGTATTTCGTAATATACTTTTAGAGTAAGCCTTATTAGGTATAAGCACTCGGCGCGCGCGGGCCGAGTATACGCTTATATAATTAAGCTAATCGATCAAACGGAATAACGCGAGTTAGCGCTATCTGAAAATAGACGCCTATCTGCTTATATTAAAGTCTATAGGTATACTTGTTTAATAGTAGATATATTAAATATATAGACAATCTTATTAGTTTAGATAGTCAAAATAGTAGGGAATTATCGGAATCCTAATACATTCGTTTAAGAGGTAGCTATAACTAGATCTAGATATATTGATTAGTACTTACAATCCTATAGATACCTAATAGCGACGACGATAGTCTACTAGACCTCTCGCTACTACTAGTAGTAGCGATTCCTTCTCTATTAGAGCTATTTAGCTTATCTTCCCCTATACTAGATACGCTATTCCGAAGAAAGATAGAACGTATTTATAAGATCGAGAGGGCTAGATAGTATAAGCTATATAATACTATAGATACTATAAGGTTAGAGTTAGTAGCGAACAACCGTAAGATTGCCGCTTTGCGAGTACGAGTACGTAAATTAGAGGCCTAGCCGAAGGCCCGGTTAGAGTTAGTAGCGAACAACTGTAAGATTACTACTTTACGAGTACGAGTACGTATATTAGAGGCTTAGCTAAAGGAACGGTATAATCGCCGACTACTTGTAATATACTATCGTAATAGAAATAGGGATAGGTATTAGTCCGTCGTAGAAAGGTTAGCTTTTATTAGTAGCCGTAGCTCTAAAACTAAGAAGGAGTATTAGTAGATATATCTAGTTAGCTAATAGCGTAGTCTATAAAGTAACTAAACGTATTAAAGCACTCTGCTTCTTAGTAGTTTCTCCTAATCTATAACTTTAATAAGCTAAATAACAACTCAATCGGATTGAACTCTAGTAAGTATAGAAGTAGTTTTATAAGCTTTATACCGGCTATATAACAGATATCGTCTAGTCTATTATAGTAGATAGGAGTATTGTCTATTACTAAGAACATGCCTCTATTAAGCTACGGAATAACAATAAACTTAATCTAGTTCTTAAACTACTCTATAGTAATTAAGCCTTAGTATAGTAAGGGACTATCTAGGTATCTAGCAATCGTAATTGCCGGTAGGCAAGACTATCTCTTTAATCGCTTTATACTACCCTAGTCCTTATAGGGAGTATTAACGGCCGAGTACCTATATTTCCGCTATCTAGTACGCTTATTACTCGCGCTCTCGTCTACGTAGTAGATACGGTATACTAGTATAGTCTTTATCTTCTCGATAAAGTCCGCGCGGAGTATCTAGTTCTGTTCTACTACTACTCTCTATATAGCCTTCTATAAAAAGCCCCTCTCTTATATAATCTTGCTAATCCTCTGCTTACTTATAGCTATACTAAACTTATTATATAGAAACTACTAAATTTCCTAGAGATATACGGTCGGTCGGTCGCGTAGGTACTCTAATATATAGTCCTCCTGTTCCCTATTTAACTTCCGCGTAGGCCCTCTTCTAAGGAACGATAGATATAGCTCCTAAAACAGCTTAATATTCAGTTTAAGCTTGTCTACTATACGCCTACTAATCTGTATCTTTATAGCTACTATACTGTTACTTAACCCTTATAACTATAGGTCTTTGATTTAGTTAATCTAATAGGGTAGTATCTACTATAAGTACTATTTCCTAGGCAGCGCTACTTTCTTTGTCTTCTAGGGTATAGTTCGAGTCTAAGTAGATATATAGTAAGGTATTGCTTATTGCTAATAAGAGTATACTATATAGCGCGCTACTTAGTTTATATTTCTTGTTGTATAGAAATAGAGACTATAGGCATACTAAGCATATTATTACTATCCGAGTACGATAGATATCAACTAGTTGTATAACGAATATATAGTAGAATTTTACTATTTAATATAGTATAAAAGGGTTGTAACTCGGCGGATTTACTCTAAGCTC